AAAAAAAAAAAAAAAAAAAAAGGAAAGTGGGGGTGGGGGGGGGACACAAGTTGCAGGACACTTTGTCAGGTACATCTGCTTTAACTATAGCAGTAAAGGCAGACTTGTATGTTTTAAAATTGTTTAAAAAGTGTATTCATCCTCACTTTAGGATGCAAATAGATGTTTAATTAAATTCCAGCGTCAGGACACTTTGTCAGGTACATCTGCTTTAACTATAGCAGTAAAGGCAGACTTGTATGTTTTAAAATTGTTTAAAAAGTGTATTCATCCTCACTTTAGGATGCAAATAGATGTTTAATTAAATTCCAGCGTCAAATTTGCAAGTATGAAATTATTCAAACTTACCGCACGAATCAAAAGAAACAAACACGGCGGTCTTTCCAAAATAAACGAAAGAATCACGTTCGGGAGAGTGGCGAGCCGCACTTTGCACCTTCATTTACCGCCGCCTGCCATTTAGTAGCACTCGTGACGTCACCCGGTGACGTAAACGACCGCCACGCCCATGTTTCAGGACCACGGCCAGCTCCACCATTGACAACAGTTGCCTACCAAAAAAGAGAAGAGAAGAAGAACACAATTTACGGAAGCTTGGAGCTGCCAATGTGAAGTAAAAATATGTTGACTGGCATGCACTGGAGACTTAATAAACCGCTTAAATTACGAAAGAACAAGTTACTTAAATATTTGAACGTTGTGGTATGATATATTGGGTAAATTGTTCACAAAAAAAGAAACTTGCACACGCGCAAGTCGTGGCATTACGAGAAAATGCTACTTTTGTAGCCTTTAGCTTATAAGTGTGTTCGAACGTACTCGCGAGTATGTATTTGTCCAAATGTGTACTCTAGATTGGCAGCTCCACGCTTCCGTACACAATAAGAAAAAAATCTTTTTGGGGGAGCTGCATGACATCAAACACACAATTCACCTGTAGTTTAACTTTCAAGTCCGATGTAATTTGCCATGAAATTTCTTCTTCGAACCCGCGGTCTGCGCACTGTGAGGCGGACGCGCTCACCAGTCTCCACTGTGCCGCTGTTTTCAAACTTTTATTGCGGTACAATTTTAATTATCTTGGAGTCAAGTGAGGGGACTTGAGGAGCTTTCCTAAACCTTAACTTATACTTGGGCATCCTTTTGCTGCCAAGAAACTACATTAGAGTTGATCAATTTCATGTGGGGGGGAAAAAAAAAACGTTTTGCCACCATTTTGTGCCATGCTAATTTGAAGAGCTTCCTTTCGATAAGTTTGGCCATTATCTCGGACATATTTTTGCCGCCATGTCTGGCTTCTTGGTGGGGAAAAATGAATTGAGGAGCTTCACTTAGACACAAGTTGCGCTTTGCCGCCACCTGTAGGCAACGCTTCACGGATTCAAGACCATAGTAAATGTTCTTACCCAAGCGGTTCCTGACGCGGTTGCGTCGTGCGGCTAAGGAGGCGTGTTCCATCCCCACCTCAGCTTCTCCAGCCGAGAGACAAACAGTTGACTCAACGTGATTTCAACACATTAGCAAGTTTTTACGTGCGGTGATCACGTCGGTTAAGATGTAACGAGCGCGGCGGGAGTAATAACCACGGCGAGGCGGTGACAGGCATCCTCCCTCGCACTTGCCAGGTGGAGTTGGGAGGGGGGGATGACTTACGCCTCTTCAACTTTAATGGCGGGGACATCTTGCTGCTTTATTCGGGCTCTCCGCGAGTGACATCACGTACTCGTGGAAAATACTCGTGTGGAGTCACTCAAATTAAATGACGTGGGGTTTTTTTTTTCCCATGTCAGGATGAACGTCCATCACTTGTCATCAGGATAGTTGCCACTCATTTTGTGATGATAAGGGGTCGCAAGACCACGTTTGATTTTTCATTTCTTTTCTTGGAAAGAATGAAATGAATACCTGAAAAATGAAATTGTGACCTCCTCCAGGGAAGCCTCATGCTTCTCTATGTGGCAAAATTACCTCAACAATAAAGATAGCAATGTTATATATGAATTATTTGCATTTTTATGTTTGAATGGATTTCTAAACAGCACTTCGTTTCAAATTCACTTTTTTTACGGCGCGTTTTCGTCGCGTGACAATGTAGAATTGTAATGGGCTCAATAAAGATTGTTGTAGCAGAAAAACAACAACAACAAAAACAAAAACTGAAACTACAATTACAAAATATTTTCATAAATGAAATAAATGGAAAAAAAAATAGTTTTTAAAAAAACAATAACCGATACTAATAATTAATGAGAGGAAACATTCCCTGCTTATTTTTTTGTTTCCAAAAAACAAAAAAATATAACAAAGTACAATCAATTGGAAAAAAAATTAGTTTTTAAAAAAACAATTACCGATACCAATAATTAATGAGGTTTCCAAAAAACAAAAAAATATAACAAAGTACAATAGAATGTCTGAAAAAAATAACTCACAAACATCCAAACAAAATGAAAAGTGTACCAAAAGATCCAAGCAATATTTCGTATTAAAAAAAAGTCATACCAAAACTAATAAAAACAAAGTACAGTACGCTCTAAAAAAATAAAACACAAACCCAAAGAACAAAGAACATTTCAGTCAAGTTGAACAACAAAATCTAAAATGAAATCATGAGAAATGAATGAAAAAGCCAAGAAAATATTCTGTATAAAAAAAACCTCACACTAAAACTAATAAAAATATAAATAAAATCAAACAAAAATGCACAAAGAGCGAATCAAATTAAATCGAATTTGAAATACAAAAATCTAAACGAAATAAAAAAAAAAAAAACATGATAAATCCAAAACGATGATACCCCCCGGTGGGGGGTCACACCAGGAAGCTGAAGAAGAAGCCTTGAGAGGCATTTCATATGAAGTATTATCATATCATATTAAGCATTCAAGTATATAAATTAAGAATCCTACACAGTACAAACAAGTGCCTCCTGATCATGTCCAGGCACCGCCGCCGTCTGTGAAAACACAATCAGACGCATTCATACAAGTCAGCAGCTGTGATTTGTTTGTTTTTTTAAAAAAATATATATTATGATTATTACTTTTTTTAAATCCCGCCTTACCTCCTCGGCCGCGTTCCGGCATCAGCACGCAGCAAGCGCGGCACTCGAGCAGCGAGGCGAAGCGGTTGCCATTGCCGCTGCAGCCGCCGTACACGAAGGGCCGGCACTCACCCGCCCCGGCGTGAAAGTACCACAAGAGGGCGTAGTCGGAGCACGAGCCCTCGGACATGGGCTCCAGGCAGCGTTCCTCGGACCCTGCGGGGTGGGGGGGGCAAAAGTGTCTTTGCTCACTCTTGAGCGAGATGCTGGGTCAAAATATTAGGAACATCTCTCGGCAGGATCGACAAAACTGGTTATTGTGTTACATCAGCGCAAGAGAAGAAAATCTAGCACACTAGCCCGTCAAAAATTCATGGATTCCGTTTTTTGGGGTGCTTTCAAACAATTCATTCTGCATAGATGATGAGGTGGAAATAAAAATAATAAACAGGAAGTTAGATGAAGAAGAAAGCGAGACTCACTGGAGGACGGCGTTCTAAAAAGTCGTCTTTTTTCCCTCTGGAGCGTCTCCGCGGCATCTCAAACAAAAAAGGGGAGGATATTTGGGAAACTTTCTGTTACTGTTTCCAAGAATCATCGAGCAGATATTACGAAACAATCGAAAAAGCCCGGTTAGGAAAGGACGCACATCCAAATCCACAATTCCCTATTCAAGACAATGCGATTTAATCAGCGATTAAAATATATATTTTTTTTGGTCTATAGTCAGAAAAGTTGAATGTTGAGGGGGTTGAATCAATGCCAAATGTGTCAAAAATATACACAATGTGTCATTGAGTGGGGAAACGGCAGCCGTTTGATGGCACTAAATTGGGCCGCAGATTGATCTTGCGCCATGAGGGTGCGAGCGGGTGCGCGCTCGCTAATGAGCAGGCTGAAATGTACCGCCGCTTCTTGCATCACGCTGACCCTCGTCCCTCACTCGGCTCGTCTACTGGTGTCAGGGGTGCCGCTCACCAACGCCGTTCGCCGGCAACCCTGCCTGCCTCGTCGGATGTTCTTCCGCCTCGTCCCCGCCGCCGTCACCGCCGTCGTCGTCATCCTCGTGCGGGCCGGCCGGCGCGGAGCTCCCGTCGGGATCCACTGACTTCACCATCAACTTGTACTCCAAGCCTGCAGTGAAACACGCACAATCGGCCTTTGACATCACTGGATATTTCTTCCCTCCATTATGTCTCCCCTTTAATGGTAATATGTGTTCGCGTGGGTCTACATGTATTCACGTATTTATGTCGACGATGGCACCGTGGCGTGTGTGTGTTCCTCTGACAAAAAAACACCAGATGGCCCCACACACACGGGGTGCCACGTTGATACCACGGGAGGTCTTGGAGGCGCACGCACGTTTTGGCTCAGCCACAAGTAAAGCAGAGTTCACCATGTACTAGTGACACCATTACGCACACACACCATCGCTCTCGCCCCACCCACCCAACACACACACACTTACCACACTTGTCCATCACCTCCTGGCTGATGAGCTTCTTCACTTCATGAGCCTTCACACAGATGAATATCATCAGTGTGTATCTTTGACAAACGTGCGCATGACAGTATGACAGTAAGTGTGCGTGTGCGTGTGTGTGTGTGTAAGTGAGAGAACATACTGAGAGGCCAGGCTCCCCCTTGTCGCCTTTCGCTCCTCCGATTCCCAACACGCCCTACACGGACAAATACAGATAGTTAAAAAAAAAAAAAAAAAAAAAGTGTGTTTTGCAATGTGCCGAGTTAGTAACACGCACTCACACTCTGGCCTCTGAGACCGGGCCTGCCGGGCGTTCCCCGTTGACACGGCTGCGTTTTTCCTCTGCGGCCCCTCGCGCCCTTATTTGGGGAAAAAACGCACACACGCACATTAAAGCCCATCTCGGCGCACAGCGTGACACGCGCCCAATTAAAGCCGTCCTGGCAATATTCTTATTAGACGAGTGCAGACACTCTGTGGGCGTCCTAATTGTAGCTGCAAGTAGTTCATTGATGAGGGGCCGACGACTTTCATCCTCCTCTTTTGACACTCAAACTTTACTTCAGTGATGGGAAGTGATATTTTTCCCAAAGTATGGAAATACTTGGGCTGAGTTCAAATCGCCAAGTCGATAAATTAATCATAGGTTGGACAAAAAAAGACCAAAATATTGCTTTATTATAAAACTGGTTCTGTTTGTTGTAATCTGGATTAATTTACAACTTGTGCATGTTGAAAAATACATCCAATGAAAAAAAAGGGTGTGTACCTTGGCTCCCGGGTCCCCATGGGGTCCTGGACCCCCTGGTTGTCCTCGGCCTCCATCCCTTCCGGGTCTTCCCACCGAGCCTTTGAATCCCGGAAAGCCCGGGAACCCGGCCGCGCCCTACACGCCACACAATTCATCTTTTCGGGGACTTTTCAAAGCATTTTTGACTCAAGTTTGATGATGTTTATGTCCAAACCTTTTGGCCTTTCCCTCCCGAGCCACCGCCGACGCCATTGATGCCGGCGTTGCCTTTGTCACCCTGACAGAACACAACGTTATATTTCAACGCAGCTGTGCCTTGAGGTAGGACTCGATACATACAATAAATGACATGATAAAATATCACGCAAAGAAATGATACAGACATACATAGAGAAGGTCATATTTATTCTTCGGTGAGGATGAAGAATAGCTGCATTGTTCCATTATCTGTTGACATGTTTGGCTCCACTTTTGGAGTTTAGTTGTCGCGTAAACAATAATGCCACTCGGTAGCCCATCGATGGCGTTTTGTCAGCATGAAGCTAATGTGGCCATTTTACCTTTTTTCCGGCAAGTCCGTTCAAGCCAGGGATGCCGGGGGTGCCAGGTGAGCCTCCGTCCCCCTGTGGAGTAGCAATTTCAAACTTGGTATCGGAGCATCGATGACCGATGAACTCAAACCTTTTCGCCATTGAGACCGGGACTCCCGAAATATCCTGGAACGCCCCGGAAGCCCTTCTCTCCCTTGGCTCCCTTATCTCCAGGTGAGCCCGTTTCTCCCGAATCCCCCTGCAACACGTACAAGGAACAAGAGCGATGCCAAACGGCCCAGATTCTGGTCAGGAGATTATAATGAGCGCCTTTGCTGTCCGGTACCTGATTACCCCTCTGGCCTTGCAGTCCCGCGTCGCCTTTGTCCCCTTTGGTGCCATTCATGCCGTCATTTCCCGGGCGACCCTTACAAATTGAAACGACACGATGACACCCCATCTTGCTCGCGTACGGAACGTTTCTGACGGTTTTTACCATGACTCCGGGGTCGCCCGGTTCTCCCGGATCTCCCTGCAGACAAACAGTTGGACTATTTCAAATCACTTTGAAAACTTGGGGAGTCACGGGAGAGGGCTTGCAAACCTTCTGACCGCCTGGTCCTCGAGTGCCAAAGCGTCCCAAAGTTCCTTTTGTGCCCGCATCACCCTTCAGGCCCTGGAAAAAAAAAAATGGTGGACTTTGGAATGTAAGGTTGTAAGAGACTAAAATTGTCTTGATACCTTCACTCCGGGTGGACCGTCCTCGCCCTTCTCTCCTTTATCGCCGTCAAAGCCCGGGGAGCCTCGCTCACCCTGCGACAAAAACCCAACCGAGAACATCGCAAGCACGTTCTCAGAAACAAGCGGGGAGACGGCTCTCACCGCATCGCCTTTGGCGCCCTTCAATCCACGAGGTCCATGAACTTGAAGCGCACTCCCCTGCAGTGCAGAAGACAACAAGGGCTATTAAAAAAAAAAAAAAAAAATTCAATCAGTTGATCCCCAAAAAATAAACGTACCCGTTCTCCTCTGATGCCTTGCATCCCACGTTCACCCTGGTGTTTAAAAAAAAAAAAAGGTGATGCCAATGACAACTTTGCATCTGTGGAAGAGGGACCTTTTACCTTGACGCCTTTGAAACCACGTAAACCTTTGGGGCCCTAAAAACACAAAGGGCAGGTTGATTATTTCTAAAAGTGGCAACGAAACAATTCAAATGTCACAAAGTGCTCACGACGAGTCCTGGTCCTCCTTTCATACCCGGGGCCCCTTGGTCGCCCTGAAATCGAAACCACAAGAGGCCCTTTCATCGACTTGCACACAACAATGGCATTATTATGATTTTGAAAACAAAATAAAAGAAAGAAATCCCACCCTTTTTCCAGGGAAACCAGTGAAACCTCGAGGCCCCGCCTCTCCAGGGATACTGTCCCCCTGTGAAGGATGTGTCCATTTTTCAAGTGGTACTATTATTTATTATTCCACTGATGACTTCTTGAAACATATTTACCTTTTCTCCTTTTAATCCAGGTACACCAGGAGAGCCCTGAATAAAAAAATTGCAAAAAAATTTAATGTAAATGTGGTAGGTTGATGCAGCGTAAATAGGTCTGCTCACATCAGGACCCGGTGCTCCTGGAGGTCCCGTGCCTCCCGGCGTTCCATTTTTCCCCCGCTTCCCTCGCTCACCCTGCATGGGTGTAAACGGCAAACATCGCCTGTGCATCACTTTCAAAATCAGAGAGCTGATATGGCGCCGTACCTCCCGGCCGGGCTCTCCGGGGTCTCCCGGGGGGCCCATGATGCCCGGGTGCCCCTGGATGCCTGAACTCCCGCGGATGCCTTGGATTCCCTGAGCGCCCGGCGGCCCCGCCTCTCCCGGCTCACCCTAAGTAGTTGAGTCAGAATTGCTTTGATTTGGCTTTCGGAACAACACATCAACGCATTTTGGTGACCTTTTCTTTGAACGAGCACGACAACTTTTTCAAAGTAAACTAATTCGTTGAAATAATTGCTTTCCAACGATGTGTTCAGCTTGCTCGCTCTGCTTTAAATGAGTCACTCAGCCAATTAAATCTACTCCAATTAAAATGGCAGCCAGATGCAAAGTCAATCAAAGTCAAAGTGATTGTGTTGGAATCATTTGTATTTTTTTTCATTATTGTTATTTTTTTTTTTTTAAATGAGGTGTGTCACCTTGTTGCCGGGGGGACCGGCTTGGCCCTCAGGCCCTCGGTGGCCGATGCCCGGCTCTCCCTGAACACACGACTTCGACCATCATCTTCATTGTTGAATAATAAATCACACGCACACGGGAATATGTACGGCGTACCTTTTGTCCCTTCTCTCCAACGTCCCCCTGCAGACATCGACAAGGACACGCGGGAAAATCAGCACCTTGCCGTTGTTAAAAGTGAGCAATATGAGGGGGAAAAAAAAAATCCCCCCCCCCCCGCACTTGTCCACAACGTTTAACAAGGGGAATTATTCATGCGTGCGCGTTCTTTCATCTTGCCGGCATCAAAAGAGCCAGGGAAGGCCGGACGGCAGCCAAGAGCCCCCCAGCTCTGATGCAACGTCAAGAACGTGGGCGAGGGGGCGGCGACCAGGCGCTTACGTTGAAGGGGATGCTTGGACGCGACTTTGTGTGCATCTTCCCAAACTTTATTTTTCAAGAGTCATGAGTTATGTAATTGGAAAATCAATTCGATCGCATCGGGCCTCCGAAAATATAGCAAACCTAATTATTTCAACATTTTTTTTTTGCACCCCCCCCCAAAAAGTAGTGCAATGCTGCACGGCTCCCACCGAGTGAGTTTGAGTAACATCCCTCAGACAAGAGTTGCTCTCAAAGCTATTTTCAACACTTCAAATTGGTTCATAATTTGTGGGGAGGGGAAGAAAAAAAAAAAACACCACGTTGATCAAATCGATTTATGATCAAATATGGAAATGACCGTAATTGGACATACGCAGTTCCCGCCTCAAAGCGATGAAATGTATTCTTCAAAGGATGTTGCCGACACTGACACATTGTTGTTGGCATTGGAAAAACCCAGCGCTGAAAAAAAATGGCAAAATATATTTTATATACTGTTTATTCTACGTGCACGTATGTCAAACGAAGTTGAATCCAGATCGGATCCTAATTGTGCCACAGGGTAAACGTGAGCCTGTGCTATGTGCTAAACTAATTCAAAAGACCACCACCGCTGTCGATGACAGAATCCGGCACCAAAATTAATCACAAATTGGCATCATGATCGGGAAAATAATTCCTTTTCAATGTTGGACGAGCGTTGGGCCAAATGGTGTCGATTTACCTTGGGACCCTGCATTCCGTCCTCACCTGGTTGCCCCTTGAGAATTCAAGACACACGTGTATGAATGAGCGCGTTATTTTGAATTTGCAGTCGAATTCTGACTGCACGTGAGCTGATCATTTACCTTGAGGTAAAAATAGTCGGGGTGGTAAGGGGAAGGTCGCCCGCCTTCTCCTTCGCCCGTCCTCTCCATGTCAGCCCTCCTCCTCTCCCACTCCTCCAGCTGTCGTCGCCTCGCCAGCTCGGCTTCATCTTCCTCCCGCGTCTCCCAGTCGCCACTCCAATCCTCGTCGTCGGGCCCGGGCCCCTCTGCTGGACTTTGCACGAATGGATCCATCACGTGGCGTCGCCGGCTTCCTCCTCCAACGTCGGAGGTGCTTCTCTACAAAGTCGTCATCAATGACTCGTGGCAAATTTACATTTCAGCCCTTGCGCGCAGTCTCATAGACTCCATTAGCGTCAGCACCTGGCCAATTCAGACACTTACCTTTGCGTCGGACCAATTCCTCTTGACCCTGGTTGGCGGCACCTGCCAAGTGCGCCCCCACATGCTCTTCAGCAAAATATTTCAATACTGCAGAGTGACTTTGCGTATGTGTGTGTGAAGAAAAGAAGCCAGAGACTGAGTTAATTTTTTTATATTGAAAATTTTCACCAGTGACGATCAATGACTATAATTGACATCCATGTTTCAATAAATAAAAAGTACACTAAAAAATGTATGTATAAAAAGGAGTGACTTTTTTTTTTTGATATTAATTTGATATGTGTCTTTATAAATAACTTCTAAGTTGTAGGTTGTCACATCCAAGGCTGCCGTCTCCACTTTATTTGCATTTTCCTTTGTGGTTTGTGTTCCTTGTAATTAAGGCCGCAAATTAAGAGGCATCCTGTTTAAAGATGGAAGAAAAAAAAGAGAGAGAGAGGAAAAAATATGTAGCGTTACTATCGTCCCATTAAAACGAATCAGTGTGCTCATTGCCATTCAGCCAAGCTTGAAATCATGCTGCGGGTTTCATGCTTTAAAGCTGAGGTTAAAACAATGTTTTTTTTTTTTTTTGCAACTGGTGAAAATTTTGTGATGCGCATGCAAGGTGCGCGTGTGTGTGTTGGTGTTCGGCCAATGAGGACTCCACCTTGTCTGCTTCCTGGGTGGTGATGGGAGGAGATGGCAGCGACATCGCTTCCTGTTGGCGGCATCAAAAAAAAAAAAACAAACAAAAAAAAAACTTTAGAATCAGGGTGCTAGATTCTGATGTGAATCTGTCCAAACGTTTTAGCTGGAGGATGAACCAAAAAAAACGGATCGACTGTGACTTCTGAGCAGCATGCACTCAACCCATTTTATATTAAGACAACACGTTCCCAACGACTTAAAGCCGTGGGCTGCGAAGACAACTCGGTGGGCTTGCTAATTAATATTATCGGGAGTAGGTGTTGCAATTAATCGGCGCCTTCCCGGAGATGATGCGATGAAAGCGGCGTTCTGACAGGCCCCGTTAACGAGAAGGCGGGAGGACGTCATCTGGCGTCAACCTTCGAATGAGGTCGCCTACCTCCTCTTGCTCGTCGTAATGGCGGGCGTCATAAAACTCCTCTGACGACTGCCCGCTCTTCTAGAGGAGGGCGAGGGGGAGGAAGAGTGTTGCGTTATTGGCATTGGGCATTGGCGATAGCGGCAGAGAGATAGATTTCATTTACCGGGGGATCTGTCTGCCTGGAATGTCGTCCTTTGTTTCCTCTACCCTGGTTGTCACGCGCCACACACGGGAAGAGTCGTGTCAAGCATGAGGAATTAGTTTCGCTGCACGCAGGTGATCTTTTACCTTCCCACGTTCTCTGTTTTGCCTCTTGTGCCCTGCGTTTTTCTTGCCCGCGCGCGGCAGAGTGACCGGGACGGCCTGGGTGTCACTTCGTGGATGGGCAGAGACCGTCTGCCAAAACACACGCAAAGGCATCAAAACAAAACAAACAAACAAAAACCCTCCTCATTTGTAAATTACTTACCTGGTTTGAAGTGTCGTTGAAAGTGGAGCTGACTTGAGTTGGATTTGTTTTGGCTTTGGACGGCCCGTCAAGACCCTCCTCCTTTTGTTTCTGCGGTGTCCATAACGTTGGACCCTCAGTAGATTCATTCCAAGAGTCCTTCAAGTGGGGCGGGGGAAAAAAAAAATCCAAGAAATGAAAGTTGCATAGTTGGTGATAATCGGCCTGTTTGATGGAGCGTCACTCACAGGCCGCGTCGGTTGGTCCAGCTCAAATTCCTCAAAGGTGTCCAGTCGCATGCGGCTGGATAAATCAATCTTGACAGAGCTCTTCCGACATGATGCGAGCAGATTATTAAGAGTTCTTTTAAAAAGTGCCGAGTTCGCGTGACATACCGTGTATTCCGTGATGGCATTTGAGGTCTGCGTTTCTTCGTTTCGCGTGCCTGCGCTTTGCGAGGTTGTCGCGGCGCTCCCGAGTGTGCGAAGGAGCTCCTCGGTGCCGCCCTGCAGCAGCCTGTCAATCAAAACCTTCAACAGGGGCAGCTGGGAAACAAGCCGACATATCAAGGCTCCGTCAAGGACGAGGAAGAGCGACGACGAAATCTGCGTTTTGGACTGCGGGGACACACCTTGATGCCGTACGCGTCAAACATGGCTTCGATGTCCTGGAGAAGAGCAAGCATGTGAATCATGTGACTTTTCAGTCAAAAGCAAGGAGCAAGAACATAACCTTGGATCCACCTTCATTTCTAAGGATTTCCCAGAGGCTCCCGCATCACCCTATTGAAGGAAAGAAAATGCTGCATCAAGAACTCAAATACCGTAATCCCATTTCACCTCTCTCGGACTCCGACCGATTCTACCTTTTCGCCTTTCATGCCGATGTCGCCTTTCTCTCCCTGCAAGACAAGCGAGGAAATCAGAAAGTGGATTTACACTTTGGAATCAACCCGTTTGTGTGCTACCTTCATTCCCGGCGAGCCCTGAACACAAACGAGAGAAGAGGAAGGCGATATTTGCTTGGGCAATGACTGGGCACGACGGCAACAAGCGCCGGGGTGGGCGAGAAACTCACGGTAGCTCCCGGAGGACCCATGGGGACGGGAAAGGCTTGGCGGATTTCGTCGATGGTGGCGCCCTGCGAACGGGGCGTCCCGGAAGTTGTATTTGACGCAAAAGTCGGCGAGGTGAACGTGTTTCTTTTACCTCTGCGGTGACAAGGACCTGTTTCCCGGGTAAACCTGGCGGTCCCGGGTCTCCTTTGCTGCCGTCTCTACCCTGTCATTCAACAGCGAGACTCAAGTTTTTGCTCCCTTTGCCGCCATGATTTTCAACTTCAAACCCACTTACGTTTGCCCCCGTGTCGCCTTTCTCTCCCTGGAATGAGAGCAAACCATGAATGTCTAGAGGAAAACCCAACTCATACTTTTTCTTAGTTGTCTGTGACACACGTGGGGGACCTTTTTGCCTTCTTCCCCTTTTGGTCCTCCCTCCCCCTGAAAAAAAAAAAGAAACTCATGTTAATCACTCCAGCGCAACCAAACGGTCGGTACGCCGAAATGGTCCTCACATCTTTCCCCGGGAGTCCTCGCTTGCCGTCGATGCCAGCTCGTCCCTGGGAAAGCAAAGAGAACAATCGGTGAACACCGCACGGCAGGATGCCTCTCATTCTCGGAAGAATCTACGGTTCTTCTAACGGGCTTCACCGGAGTTCCCGGTAATCCCGGCATTCCGGCGATCCCGATGCGGCCCTGTTCGCCTCTCTCGCCCGTCTACCAAAAAGCACAAGTGTGAGGCAATCAAACTGTGCATCAAAGGATCAAAAGTCTTTCCCCACTGCGTCGTTTGTACACTTACTGCGCCAGGCTCTCCTTTTGGTCCCCGCTCCCCCTGCAGTTCAAATAAAAGTAACATTAGGCGTTTAGGAAAGTGGACGTGTGCGTGGGCGGGGAGGCTGACATGACCTTTTCGCCCGGTTTTCCCGGTGTACCGTGAAGGCCGGAATCACCCTGCGCAAAGTGTCAATAATTTTAACAATTACCGCTCACGATCTAAAAAAAATAAAAAATAATTGGACACTCACCAATGACGATCCTGGTTGTCCGGGTTTACCCTCAGGACCCTGCCAACAAAGCGAAGACATGAAGTTTGAAGATACACGTTTCACACAAACCTTCAATGGCTCCCAAGAGCCCAATGTACACATTTCTTTACGAAATTAGGAGGCTCACTCTCGGTCCGGGCAGGCCGATTTCTCCTCTTAAACCCGGTTCACCCGGCTCGCCCTGACGGAAACACAATAAGCCGTTTATAGAGGAGACATGAGAAGAAAATTCCGCGGGGAAAATAAAACAAATGTGATATCGATAAAAGACACCTTGATCACTCGGGCGAAGATATTGTCTCGTACCGCCTGGCAAAAAAAAAAAAAAATTGAGCGTTCATTTCTTGTTTGGCGCTTTAACGACTTTACGAGCGCCGCCGCAAAACAAATGGGCCTGTTAAACATGACTGGACTGATGAGAAGCTGTCACACATGACGATAAAAAGGTTTGTTTACTTGCGTTCCCGGAGGTCCAGGTTTTCCCTTTGTGACGACAGCAGGCACACACATACGGGCACAGAGAGAGATTAAAAAAAAAAAACCTGTTTAAATCACATCAATAGAACGTCGCGGGCAATATTTGCAGGAAATAGAAGGTGCGCTGAAGAGTGACACGCGCAATAAAAGCCGAAACAAAGATATCAAAATAGCAATCGCAATGACAAAGCAAAGCGGCAGATCAGAACAAGAAAGACGCCAAAGGCATCATCAACTCAAACACACACACACACACCGGCTCGCCTTTGTCGCCATTTGCTCCATCGAGCCCCTGGAGGAAGACAAAGAAATTTCATTACAGGTAAACATGAAATGTTAGCATTGACGAGCGACAATTACGCTCCAAGATGCTTTATTCTTTTAATTGCAGAAGGTCTTACAGGCAGGCCAGCGCTTCCAATATCTCCTTTCTCTCCCCGCGCTCCCGGTTGCCCCGGGAGCCCGAGTGGGCCCTGAGTGAAAATTGAATCAAACATCACCAGTTTAAGTTCATTTCCTTGACTTGCTGGTTCATATTTTTGTCAAAACCCCAAGGGGTGAAAAAAAAAATACCCTCTGTCCTGGGTCACCAGATGCTCCTTGCGGTCCTCGCTCCCCCTGCAAAGGACAAAACGAGTTTAGGAAAATGTTATGTTTTGGCATGTTGCAATATTTTTTTTTTTTGTCTTTTTCTTTTTTTTGTGGGGGTGGGGCTGGTAGGGCACCTTCATCCCTTGTTCTCCTTTAACTCCGGCACCACCCTACAGACACACATACACACACACACACACACACACAACAACAACAACACTTGTCATACGGCCCTGGAAAATGACACGAGGGACACCGAAATGTGACTTTTTGCTGCCTGTTATGATGGCTGGGACAACCTCATGTGATTTACTTACATCTTTACCTCTTAAGCCAGCTTCTCCGGGATTTCCCGGTGAGCCCGCGTCCCCCTTGTCACCTTTGGAGCCGTCCTGTCCCTGTTCAGGAGAATGACATGGATGACGCAAGACCAAAAATCGGAAACATTTTTTGTGTCAGGCAATTTCTTTTGTTTTTGTTTATACACGTTATATCGATTGCTTACAATACCTTTGCTCCTGGTTTTCCAGATAAACCAACATTTCCCTGGGAATGATAGCAATACATATTATAAAAAAAATAAAAAAAAAAAAAAAAAAAAAAAAGCAAGAATGTAGCAACAAAATCGCGGCTGAGGTATTTAGGGACTCACCCGCTCGCCATTTTCCCCTTTTGGTCCCCCCTGTCCTGGAATTCCAAAACCAGGACTCCCCTAAAGGCACACATCAATTCAACTCAAGCTGCACATTCTCAATTTGCACTTTTTAACCATCCAACCTTTTCTCCTTTGTCTCCTTGTTCCCCTTTTTTTCCCAGAGGGCCCACGGGACCGATTGGACCGACGTCTCCCTGTTGGACGGGAAATGTCGACACATCATTTGGGGACTTTTCAAAAGGAAACGAGCGACTCTGACGGGGGTTGCGCTCACTGAGTCATTCAGTCCAACTGCACAAAGCTAATGAGAGAAACTCTTAATTGCGTTTGATTGGCGGGCCCGCAGGAGAACGCGCCGCCTTGTAAAATAATAATCGCTACCCCGTGAACTGACAGATGCGCTTTCACAAACAGCATGACGCACTCACCCGGATGCCCTTTTTGCCGGTTGGACCGATGACCTGTTATGATGGGACACAAATACGACATTGCTAATTAGCACCCGAGAAAAAATAAACAAAAGAAACATTGCAAATTGTAGTCTTACACCCTTGGCAGTGTCGCCGGGGGCTCCTCTTGGTCCCGCATCTCCCTTAAGGCCAATCGGTCCTGTTGGTCCCTGGAAGAAATAATAAGGCACACTGTGTATAACTTTGACATCGTGCATACATTCATCGCGATATATTCTACAAACAAAATAATAAACACTGAGCATTATCATCTTTGTAAAGGCTTCTGGATAATTGGGAAAAAAATGGTTTATGCGTCTTGGTTGGCTCATTTCCCCTTCCATAGCATGACATATCGCAAATGAAATAATTTTGTGTGAGGTGACGCAATTAGCGGTTATCTCGGAGACCTTTTCAAGAAGCGTTCAACAAAAAAGGGCATTAAAGAAAACAGCCAGATAGCATCTTTGTGACGACCTCCTCACCGGGAGGGGAGGTGAGGTGAGCGAGGTGAGGGGTGGGGTGGGGGGGTCGCCTCAAATTAAATTCAGTGACGCGGGACAAAAACGCGCGAGAGACATCCATTGAGGCTTTGCCGATTTGGCTCTTCGCCGGCTTCTCTGACGGAGGCTAATTTCAGAGATTCAAGGGATTATATACCGTAATGCCTCGGCCTCGTTGGTCAAATATAAAATGCATTTTGTCATCATCGCTAATCACACTCACCGTTGGTCCTTGCGGTCCACTGGGCCCCCTCTCGCCTTGTTCTCCCTAAAAAGGAATGCATTTCTTCATTTGAGACTCACTTTAGGTTTCCGTCTGTTAGTCTGGCTGATGAGTCATTTGCTTCGACAAAATGGATCGGGACATTTGTATTTTTCCGTCGAGTGTGCATTACAGATGAGAGCGCGCGTGCAGATGTGGACTCACCTTGTCCCCTTGCTCCCCTTTGAACCCCTTTTTCCCCTGCGGACAAAATAAAACACTGGCGATCAATTAGTTATTCTGATTTCGCTAAAATCAAAAAGCAGCTGTTAGCGCGCTAATCTCGTTAGCATTAAGTCAAATATGAATGGGTGGGACGGTCAATCATGACATACGCACCCGAGGTCCAACAGCTCCTTGGGTGCCTTGTTCTCCAAGTTCACCCTGGACAGATGCACGATATCATCCCAAATAAAAACGAAATCAACCGAAATGAAATGTCAGTATTGAGTACCTTTGGGCCGATTGGTCCTGCAATGCCCACGTTTCCCTGCAAAAAAAAACCCCAAAACTGTATTGAAATATGTATGATGGTAGGATCGCGGTCCACTTATCAATGCCTACAAAGTCCAGTCACCGCAAATGCTGAACACGAATGACCGCAGAACAAAGAACGGCTAAGACATCGGCATGTCAAAGCAATTCCGTGTGCAAATATGCCCAGGAGAGGGCGTATGAGAGAACAAAAGAGCAATTTTGCTTGTGGTACCTTCTCCCCCGGCTCTCCGCGAAGGCCTTGACCCCCTAAAAAGCTCTGTCCGCATTCACCCTGCAAAAGTTCACATTTCGAGAGGGTCAACACATTTTGAGAACAAGATGACGTTCGTTGACATTGTTTACCTTCTCTCCTTTCGGACCCGGTAAACCAGGCACGCCGCTGATGCCGATTGGACCGGGCAACCCTGCCATACCCTTGACGGTTGGTTGGGAAACAGAAAAAAAGATGAATCGTTTTTGAAAAGCGCATTGACGGGAGATCGTATCTGCACTCACGATGCTCCCGGCTTCTCCTGTGTCGCCCTTCGTGCCCGGCTTCCCTCGTAAACCCTTTCAAACGAACATATGAGGATGTCATTTCAAGTCCAACGAAAGCTGCAGCAGAATTCTGGTGTACCTTTTCTCCTGGCTCTCCGAGGTCCCCCTTCAAAAGACGTCATGCATAAGATTGGCTGTACATCTAAAACCCGTCATCTGGACATCTAATCTTTCCTTACCTTGATAGATATTCCTGGTGGTCCTGCTGGACCAGGCAGACCCGGGACTCCGATGAGTCCAGGAATACCAGGAGGTCCCTGGGGACCCTGTCACATTACATTTCATCAGGCCAAAATTCATTCTGGGAAAATCTCCCAAAACTGTTGAGCGGGTGTCTCACCGAAGATCCTGGTTCTCCTTTTTGCCCGGGGACGAAGTTTGCATCTGGGGCGGCGATCACGTAACCAGGCTCTCCCTGTGATGAGACACGTCATACTGATTTCCTCACGAGTGTTCCAAAAATACATTAAAATATCCCAAAACTTACTCTCTCTCCTCTCTGTCCTTTGGGACCGGTGAGACCACGAGGACCCTGTGAGAAGACAAGAATAGTCATCATTTCATTCAAGACATTTTACTCATCATTCAAGTTTTACCGTATCGCCCGGTATGCCTGGAGTGCCCTGAAAAAGACGAAAAGATGCATTGCAGAAAACAATGACGACACGTGTTAAAACAAATAAACTTAGGCCGAGTTTGTTCTCTTGTGAATTCACTTACCCGTTGCCCGGCGGAACCTGGGGGTCCGGTTCGTCCAGGGCGTCCGGGCAGCCCAGGAACGCCGTCCGTTCCGGGAGGTCCCTGTCAAAGCAAGATGGCCAACGCGTCGGCAAAAAAATATTAATCAAATGAAACAACATCACGCTCCAGTAAAAAAAAAAAAAAAAAAAAAAAAATCCAGATTTGATTTGTCCGTGAGTGTGCACAGCTTGCCTTTTCACCCGTCTCTCCCTTGGTCGAGGTGAAAGGATCAAAGTGCCCGGGAGTTTGCCTAAATCGCTACCAAAAAAAACCCCAAAAAAAACAAATGTCTCAGGTGGTGTTGAAAATGATCAGAAATATAAAATATTTGGAGTCAAACTTACCAGACCGCCTCCTACACCATCGCCCTGAAAGAGTAAAGTCCATACACATCAATATTGTTTTGACACGCAAAATTGTCGAATTTAATCTCACCCTTTCTCCTTTCTGGCCCTGAGAAAGACACCGGAAAAAAACAAATTCATGACATTTTCACTGATTGTGTTTGAAACGTTTGATGTATTGCACCTGATTGACCGACCTTGATACATTGGCAGGGGGCCTGAGGTTTTGCCAACTCCGTTGGGTCATCAGTGGGCGTGTCCAGCTGAGTCAAAAAAAAAACCAAAACAAAACGCGGGGGAAACTGAAGTGATATTCAAGCACAAAAATGAAAAGTTCTCCTTTCACCTCCTCATCCAGGCGCAGCTTGAACTCGGAGCGCAGCTCCTCGCCGCAGATGCTCCCGATGAATTCTCTCTCGACGGAGGGAAAGTCGTCAAAGGTCGGCGAGTAGAAGACATTCTTGTACCTGCCGGGGGCCGCGACTTTACGCAGCTCTTGCAGGTCGGCATTGGCGACGCCCACCGCCAGGATGCTGACGCCTGCGTGAAACGTAACATGAAGATTTAACGTGGAATGAGGACGAAGCTTGAAACCCTGATGGGACCTTTGACTGACCAAGAGCGCGGGCGATCCTGGAGGGGGGCTCCACGTTGTCCTGCGCCCTGCCGTCTGTTATCAGCACCAGAACATGGGCGACATCCTGCCTCATGCCTAGAGACTCCTGAAACATTTCCTGCAGGACATAGCTGATGCCCTTCCCTGCGTTTAGACAGGCATCAAAGTTCGAGAAATTTGATTCCTCCAAATGCGTGGTTGGGGATTTGTGTGGCACAAACCTGTCTTGGTGTTGCCCCCTCCGTAGCGTAACCCCGTGAGTGCCCAAAGCACGGAGTTCCGGTCTTTATGATCGTTGAGTCGGAATTCAATTCGAGGCTCATCGCTGAAATGAACCACGGCTATCTGGAAAGGCAGAAGAGAGAATTTCAACCTGATTATGTTCGTAATTCCCACCCCTTGAGCTGGATGAAGTGTAGTTCAGTTAGCGGACACTAACTTGCGTGCCTTTGGGGCCGATGACCGGGAAGTAGGTGACCACGCGGAATATGAAGTCCTTCATCTTGTCGAAGTTGTTGGCGCCGATGCTGGACGACTCATCCACCAGGAACACAATGTCCACTTTGCTCCGGCCGCACTCTGGCAAAAAGGCCAAATATGTGAGTCGGCAATCAGAGCATGATGAGGGCCAAAATAAAATACCTGCTCTCGATGGAGCAGGAGTCACTGCGCGTGGCGGTGTGAACTGCGGGGAGGCCGCTGTTGGATGAACTGGGGTCGTCTTCACTGTAGTAATGGGCAGCACAATAGGGTGCTCGGTGCTTCGAGTGGTTCTCTGAGGGGTTGAGGTGCTGGCTGTGACATACGGGGCCACCGTTGTTGGCTGTGACGTTGAAGGATGCTGTCCCACTGAAATGCACGGTAGCGAAATATGCAATCATTACATTAAAAAAAAAAAAAAAAAAAAAAAAAAAAAAGTCCACGAGTCTTATGAGACTTCCTTACCAATCCTCTGGTATACGGTGCTGACCGGTCCCTCCACTTGCCCATACAAAGGCCGAATGGAGAAAATATATGTTCTGCCATACAGGAGGTCACCGACTTTAAAGGAGGTGAAACTAAGACCCAGCGTCTCTTTTTTGGTCTCAAACACTGAAACAAAACATGTCATTATTTCACAACTCTCCAGAGGCAATTCACTTCATCTTTTTTTTTTTTTTTTTTTGCGGGGGGGTTACCGGTTATTAAAAGCTCCTGCCAAAATACAGACAAAGACAATGAAAGGAGAATATGACAAAATCAAATGTGCTTCAATCCACCACTTGAGAGTGTTTACCCTGCAATTTAATACACTCGTTGCATCAACATGACATGCAAGGCATATCAGCTTCAAACTCTGGGGGACGATTTGAAGATCGATTTAGAGACAAAACAACACTCAGAGTTAACAGTAAGATGAGTAAGGCACAATAAACAAGGATGAGTACAGCACATCAGAATGACACGTTGATGGCTCCAGACCTGAGATGTGCCTCCAGCTTAGACGGTACCCGGAGACACCCGTCACTCGGTTCCAGCTCAGAACAGTGCTGCTGTCCGTCGTGTTTATTGCTGAGAAGCCAGTCACTTTTGGAAGGTCCGCTATAGTCCAGCAAATGAGAGAAAAGTTAAAAGGGTGTATTCGTTATGGTCTTCACGTCGAGAAACTTTTATGAGAATGGCTCACAGGTCCGTGCTGTGACCAGGACAGAGCTTCCCTCCCGGGTGCCCGCCATGGAGGACACTTGGATCTTGTAGGCCGAGCCCTCGCGTAGGTTCTGGATAGTGAAGGTTGTAACACCAGCTGGTACCATATGGGACTTCTCTTCTCCCCCTAGATGGAACAAAGGCATGGATAACTAAGTGTTATTGTGAAAAGAAAGGCTTTACCTTCGCCAGCTGCCCAAAGTTTAAAAAAAAGCTAGATTTAACCACAGCACCAATTTGTCATCCAATGTATAATTGGTTTCCAATTGAGCAAATAAAATAAACACCAGGGGCCCCAAAATTGAACCATGTGGGGCACCAAACGACAGCGGAGCAAGAGTGGGATTCAGAGCAACCAAGCATAACACAAAAAGACCTGCCTGCCAAATAGGATTGAAACCACGCGAGGGCAAGACCACTAATGCCCACCTGGTGCTGAAAACGAGCCACAGCAATTCTGAGCACAAGATACACAGAATCTCACCCATGAAGTGGATCCAGGAGACTTTGTAGCCGGTTGCACCAGGTGTTTGTTTCCAGGAGAGGGTGACAGAGTTAACACCAGTGTCCACAACTCTGACTTCCTTCACCAGTTGGGGCGGTTCTGAGTCCAAGGCAGCCGCTGCCGAATTAAACAAGCAATCAAGGCAGGTCCTACATCCCGAAATCTCCACTGGGGCCAAGAGGAAGATCCAATTGTTCACTACCTGTGACTTGACTTAAGGAAATTTCAGGCCCCTCCGTGTTGCCATATATTGCACGGACTGTGATGGTGTAGGTGGTGTGAGGGCTCAGGTCCGTGATGTGATAGGACAGAACGCTGTGGTCCAAGTAGCGTGACTGGGGGCTGCCGCTGTCTGCAAACGTAGAGATGCACATGTGTGACAAAATTCAGCCTTGGGAGGGGGAAGGTGGATGCTAGCGACAACAACATTTACCAGTGTTCCAGGAAAGTTTGTACTCCGTAGCGCCAACTATTGGACTCCACTGCACTTCTATGGTGGTGCTGGTGTAGGCGGTTACCTCAAAGCTGGACACGTAACCAAGAGGAGCTGAGAGTGAACGAGACAAAACATCAGTATCCGTCTTTCGATGCTAATATTTGGGTATATCTATTGCTACGACCCATCTTAAACACAGGTACTGACATGTTCGGAAGGTGGCGGTGATGCCAGGCCCGACCACCGATCCAAAGAGCACATAGAGAGTCAGGGCGTACTCCGTGTCATGGGCGACATTCTTCAGCTGGTACTCAGTGGTGGTGCCGTTCAGAGCCACCTGCCTGGGACGGTCCCGACCTACAAACTCTGAGAAACGACATGACGCATAAGAGGCAGCTCTTGCCGGGACCATTCCAACTTACAACCCACCTATAGTGGGTCCCCAGGCCAGTCGGTACCCAGTGGCGCCAGGCACGCTGTTCCACGTGATGACAGCGGCGCTGGTGCTCACAGCTGACACCTTCAGGGTCTGCACCGCACTGCTTTCCACTGACAGGGGTGATCAGGAGTAATTACATGGAAAAGTCCATCACTCTTGCTTTCTTTCTAGGGCAGTATAGTTACATGTCTTGACTTTGGCGGAGGTGACGGGCCCTTCGATGTCACCAAAGATGGGGTTCATGGTGATGGTGTACTCGGCGCCCGCGTGGAGGCCCTGGATCATGTAGAAGTCAAAGGTGTCCCTGAGGTTGATGTTCTCGATGTGGCCCTCTGACAGCAACGCATTACGACACATTGTAAGTGGCATAGCAAATATTGGCATTGGTGTCGTATTTGTCGGGCAGCGTTACCTGGCGACGCCCATGTGAGACGGTATCCCGTGGCGCCTTTAACTGACGTCCATTTGGCTTGCACAGTGTCAGTGGTTGCATTCTGGACCAGGAGTTCTTGAATTGTGACCAGCTTCACTATAAATACACAAACAAATCCAACCCAAAAAAAGAGGATGTTAAAATACAAATAAATAAATATCTGATCAGAGAACATAAAGCTGCGTCTTTTGGAGTAACATGATGAATCCGAAATCCCTGCACACACTCAAAAAAAAAAAAAAAAAAAAAAAAAAAAAGACATCAGAAATCTAGCATAGAACAACATTACCCTCTTGTGGACACGTTGCAGTACTACAACGGAATTGTGGTTTAAAAAGCATTGCGTCACACCAAGGGTAAAATTTGTATCCATTTTGTTTTATCTCATGACATTTAGTGTCAAGCATGGTAATTATTGTCATGGAATTCAGATGTAATAATAGTTACATGTCTTTCCCACGACGGAAACAGGTTCACTCAGCCCTTGTGGGTAAACCGCCAAAATACTGATGTTGTACTTTTTGTCCTCCTCCAGGCTGTCAATCACGTGTGAGGAGGCGTCTCCCGGGAGCAGCTGCTCGTACACGAAGCCTGGTCGGTCGGCTGCATTTGAGAAACTGTACAATGTCAATCCATAGAAAATACAAGCAGCTTCAATCACAATGCATGTTGTTTTCGTACATCTTGGGATGAGAACCCTGAATCCGTCAAGCTTCTTGAGAGGAGGCGTCCAGCCCAGACGTAGCGAGAAAAGACCCTCTTCGATCACTCGGAAATTTAACACTTGAGGCAATGGCGCTGAAAAACAAGACTTGGTGCTCATGGCGTAAAGTTACATTTGGCGATTTTACCACTTACTCGTCTGGGCAGTAGTCGTCGCAGACTCTCCGATGAGACTGGGATATATGGCAGACACAGTCAGGGAATAGGACGTGTTTGGGTTGAGCTCTGCCACCACGATGGTCGTCACGTCTGCCTTCAGACCAATCTTAAGGGAGCAGAGGCCAAAATAAACATCTGGCCCAGATGTGCGGACCTTTCCCACCTCCTCACCTGTCTCTGCTGCGCGTTGACGGGTTGTCCTCTGGAGCTGAGAGGGACGACCGTGAGTCGGTAGCCCGTGACGTCCCCCGTGGCCGCCGTCCACGTCAGTCTGAGGGAGCCGTAGGCCAGCTCGCTCACCCGCAGATCTCTTGGACCCAAGATGGGCTCTTTGACTGGACGCGAGGAGTCCGTGAAACAGATTCCAAAAAGAGAAAAGCATGTTAATTACATTCATTTTATGTATTGTATTTTGGATGCTATGCACGTCTCTCTCACCGGGCAGGAAGATTTTGACGGGGCGCGGCGGCTCGGAGGCGGTGAAACACACTCGGCGAGACAATTTGGGGAGGACGGCCTCCAATAGGGGGAAGTCAGCACCCATCAAGAGGTGCTCCTCATGCGGCTGGGACACCGTCGTCCTCAGCTCGGCCTCCTCAGCTCCCCTCACGCCTGAACACAAAAAGGATGAGGATCACTATTTTAGCACTACATAATTTCTTCCACTGGGGAGAGCTGTGGCATTTTCAATTGCTTCACTGGTGAAGTCTGTGCAAAGCCTTCAGCCATCAAATAAACAACGAAACAGCAGATTTTCTACAAGCTGACTCAGGCGTACGCGTTTAAACGTTGTTTACTTTAGATTATTTGTGCACATGGATGTTCAAAGGAGTCTTTCAATTGGTTCCGGCATGATAGGGCTTTCACCAATTTGCCCTGCGGCACTGACTCATGAAGTCCGTACGCGCCGCGAGACTGTCGTTTGCTTTTTGATGTTTGTTGACATGCCTGGACCCGCAGGTTTGCTTCGCCGCGGTGGTGATGAATAAGAGGAGCGCCACTCGGGTGTCAGAGGTGTACAGATGAATCGCCCGGTGAATAATGGGCGCAATTAGAGAGCGATTGGCTAATGAGCGGTAATTATTGCAGCGCTCGCAGCAAGGGGAGCGAGATGTATGCGTGGCCGCTGCGCATGTGAGTGAGGGAAAGGAGTGCAAGTGGACGTATGGTTGAATGAAGCACTTCTTCAGGAATACATATGGAGGCACGCTTTACCTCTTATTGTGGCGAGTGAGTGTGCTGCATATGGATTGTATATATTTGCGCGAGTGCACTTTGAAATATGATTCTCTCACAATCACAAGGTTCAGGGGAGGAATCCAATGAATTGCAACTGTACAGGGCATGAATTTCTGACAGCGGGTGAGATGGCGGCCGCCCGGCTAAGATCTGCGGGGACCACTGCAGTGGGGATGTTGAGAGAATTCACAATCCGGACTCACCGACAGCATAAAGCGAAATCCCATTGTCGGCCACTTCTTTGGCGGCGGCGTCAAAGGGGTCGTCCGAAGGTCCGTTTGTGATCAAAATGGCCACCTAAAGAGAAAGCGGAGGCAGTCAAGGGTGTATTCAGGTGTCTGTCTCAGTCAGTGTTAGTGTTTTTTTTTTAAATGGGTAAAATAGCGTTTTATATAATTCACACATCGTAAAAATAACACCGAAAAAAAGTGATCACGTATAATGCAGACTTTTGGACATAGAGAGAGATGGTCTCTCTCCAGTAATCTGCAGTCATAGTTGTTCTTCGCAGAGGATAAAGAATACCTGTGAGCGCTATACCGTCTTCATGTGTTGCACCACTGTGTTCAAGTATCTGCCGCTTGAAGGATTATGACATCGCGACACTGGAGCTTTTTGCTAACCCATCTGTGGCGTTCTGCATTGTTTGTTAGCATGAAGCTAAATAGTTATACTGTAATTGTCTCTGCTTTATGTTTGGTTGGATAATAAACTAATTGGGAGAGGCAATCAACAGTTTGGAGCCTCAGCTTTTTTTTTGACAAGTTGTCTACTTTTTGCCAAATTGCTGCTTGAGTGCAGTCATGTTAAACTGTCAGAGAGTCGAAAATCGGCTGAACAACGGCTCGTATCTGGGCACCACTGTATTCCCGATGAAAATGTCCTTGTTCCAATTTCCAGAAACACACCATGTATTTCAGCTCAATTAAACAAAAAAGATTAAAGTCCCATCAAGATTGAGCGACTGTTTGTTTTACTGTTCCAATCCATTCTACAGTTTAAACATTTGCACAGTTATGTAGCTAAATAATTAATACACCACTGTTTGGGAGAAAAAGAAAAAGTAATTTAAAAACAGCATCACACTCATTAAAGCCCCCCCACAGATTTGTTCATGGTTTAGTTTATAATTGAATTCATAATTGAATAAATCAAGCGAAAAGAACAAGCGGGATTCACGCATGCGACCGAGACTAGCTATTTGCTCATTCATAAAAATTAAGCAAAGTTCATGGAAAGTTCAAGAAAGAAGAAGAAGAAGGCAGGACAGCATCAATACGAGATTGTGGCTGCCGCTCGCATGCGCCCCGCCGGTACAAATTCAATATATCAACCTAATCCTCTCCCCGCTGCCTTCCCACGTCAAGTGCAAAATTATTCACACGCACACTCAGAAGATAGCGGGTTGATGGGAATGCTAACCGGCAGCGTTACTTCGAGTCTCCCCGCCACTGATAGAGAAGGAAAATACTTCACATTTTATCACTTGACAAGTTTAGTTGCCGTCTGGCGCAGGCGGCTGACTTTAAAGCGCTTTTTCTCTCTTTTTTTTTTTTTTTGCTGTCTAAAAATGGATGGCCTTTCATTGCTTCACCAATGTATGTGTTGTACTTAATCATGGTGGCCTCACAAGTACCTTGGGTGCGTGGTCGCGACTGATGGCGGCGCTGAAAACGTGGTGTACGAGAAATTGCAGGGCGGCGCCCATCTTCCTGGCTCCGCCTTCATAGGGAAGCATCCTGACCGCCCCGAGCACCTCCTCCAGGGAGCTGTAGTCCGTCAAGGCGATTCGCATCCTGGGAGCCAAAACAGGAAGCTGGGCGCAATCCAAAAGTGACGCGCTTGCATGTTGACTTTTACCTGGGGACGTCCCCGAAGACGGTGACTCCGAAACGGATGCCCTCGGCTCCCACGGGGCTGTCCTTGAAGGAGGAGAGCATCTCCGAGATGAAGTCTTTCATCGCGGAGAAGCCACCTGTGCCGACGCTCGAAGACTCGTCCACCAGGAAAACGATGTCTGCTTGCACAACTGTCCTGCAGGCTACAAATAAAATTTCGCTATAGGCTTTGAATGAGGGGAAAAAAAAAACAAAACAAAGCCAGCAGTCCAAATTTAAATTCGAACCCCAAAAAAAGAATTTCACAGAATGTCCAAGGCTGCTGAATCCACCAACAGCTTCATACTCGTCTTGTCACTAGATGGCAGTCTTGCCTCATCACGTGCGCCTGCTCACATCTGCAGCAAGCTCCACAAACTCCCATGAATGCTTATTGACACACAAGTCAGCCCAAAAAGAGCATCAATATTCCAAACACTCCGGCACTAAAACTTTAGCACAGCAACGAGAAGCGCTTAGAATACTAAGGTAAACACCGCACGCTATGCGGGCGGTTCGCCCGCCTCCTCAAGCACTTTTTAAATGGCGTGTCCTGAAATGAGGTGGGCAATCAAAGTGGAGCAAGGAGAGTTAAATAAGGTGCCGTTTTATTGATCCCAATTCAGCCGGTGTGTTACTTTCCACGGAGGCAGGGGAAGAGTGATGTCATACCCTCGGCTTGTGCCGTGACGCTCCGACGACACAGGAGGCAAAGCAACAGGAGAACCCTGCACACGGAAGAGGGGCCCATACTCTTCTCTCGCTCGTCCTCTCCGCCCCGTTCCGATCACCCGCTCCTCCTCCCGCCCGCCTCGCCTCACAAATCCCCTTCCAGGACGGCGCTCCGGGGATCATCAATTCCCGCGCTTCTTCCCTCTTATCTGAGACAGGGAAAGTCAAAGAGAGATAAAACATGAGCAGCCATTTTTTTTTTTTAAACATTGTGTTTAACTTGCTGGGAGTCGGGCACCCCGGCAAACGCGCATTGCTGGGGCGCATGCAAATCGCACACTATTTATGATCGATTAATTGCATCTTGTCCGAATAAAGGCGAGAGGGGGATAATAAAAAGATTGTTTTTCAGCACATTCCAACGGTGGCAAAAAAGGTGTACAAGTTTCACACAGCAGCTTTTTAAATCATTTGATTCTGCGCCAGCTATCAGAGGCAATTACTGCGGCGTCTAAACAAACCCGCTGTTTGGAATTTATGACCCCAATAATCCAAAAGGGGACATCTCACATTGCAGAGGTGGACTCAACTGAGCCTTTGTTTTCTTTTTTTGTGGCAAGGCAGGGGTAATATTTAGGTACGATGTTTCACCTTTCCTGATGGAGGATGTTTGATGATGATAACGGATGTGCTTGGGATTTCATGCATGTATAAATATGGAGTGTTTTCTTTTGTGAATGAAAATGGGACGACGTGTGCGGTCATATCGGCTGAGCTCGAGAAGACTGACAGCTTCATTATTTCCCGAGAAGATGATGCACACAAGCGTGACAAATCTGAATGAACAGACAACAAGAACATCCAAGATAGCGCCGCAATTCTTTTACTTTACTTCAGAGACTACCAGGTGTCTATTGAGGTGCGACTTATTCAATTGGACGACATACTTGACAAAAAAAAGAAATCTTTCAAGACCCAAAGAATATTGTGTTCTGTGATTAAAAGCGATGCCAAATTGTGTCCAAAGGTCCAAAATTTCTTGGCAGGCCGACGAAAACAGATGCGACAGGGGCAATGAAAAGGCATGTCCCAACTCTTTCATCCCCATTTTTGTCAGTCCGCCTCGGCCGATTAACACAAGCGTAAAAGTGCCATAAAAAGTGATTGGGCTCGATGGGGAGTCATTCGGGGAAATTCCTCGCCGTGCTTTGACCGCCTGGCTGAAGGCTGGATGACATTTACAACCTGTGCGAGCCAGAGCGGGCTGGCAGGGCCCGCGCAACTCCGCACTTCACCTCCTCCTCGCATACCGATGCAGATATGTCTCTGCATGTATCTTATTCGCGCAGAGAGCAGCCACTCAGGTGTGGAGGATTTTATGAATGACAGCCGGCACGCTTAAATATACCACAAAATGCTGCGGTCGTTTTTACTTTTGTGGCCTTAGTCGTGTCTCAAGCACAGGGGCAACCGACAGCCGCAATCAAAAATGCCGCCATGGTTCATATTAACAACGCGGTGGCGCAACACTTGGCGTTTATCGCTGCCCCGAGAAGATTAAACAATATTACAAAACGAACTTCACGGACTCACTCGGTGTTATCTGCTTCTTTCTCGCTCACTCTCTTTCTTTCTCTCTCTCTCCTGCTCTCGCACACGGCGGCGGCCTTGCGAGTGTAGCCGTACGTCAGCTCTTTCTCCATAATGGCATTTTCCACCTCGCCACCTTTCGGAATGGATTATCCCCGCGAGACGGTTAGTGGCAGAAAAAAAAAAAAAAAAAAGGAAAAGACGACGGCGATGTAATTCAGATTTTGAAAGCCAAAAGCAGAAAGTTTGAAGGAGCAGCCGAGCAACACAGACAACAACGTGTTTGCAATAGTGCAGGCGTGCAAGACATGCAAGTGCATCCATAATCACACACACACAAAAAAAAAAGAATATAATGAGCTTAAACTACGCACTGCTGTAAAAAGATTAACACTTGGCTTGTTAAATCAGCACATTAAAGTGCAGCAAAGTGAATGGATTTTGAAGGGCCTTCTACTTACCTCTCTGCTCAAGTTCATCAGAATTATCCAGAAGACTTCCAGATAGGGGTTGAAAAATCCCCTAAAACACAAAAATTTTAAATCCAAGTGAGGCAGTCGTTCATGAATCTGTGTGTGTGAAAGGAGGAGGTAGGTGTGTGTGTGTGTGAATGAATGAATGACACTTGAATTTTTTTTGGGGCTTGGCTAACATGCATAAAAAAAAAAAAGGTTTGGAAAGAGGGGTGGGGGCTGCCGCAACTTGCTGCCCTTAGGGAAGAAGCGGGGGTGACTTAAAACGCTTTGACCCTGCCCCGAATACCACCAAGAGCAAACGGCTTGAGGAATAAAAAGCAGTCGGGTTAAATCATGTTTTACAAGCGACCCCCCCGTTTTGGTTCCTTTGTTGGAATTGGACACCGGGTCACCTTTGGAGGAATGCAATGACCGGTTTTAATGGGCTTCGGCCAGCTGTGAGCGCTGACATGCTCGGACTCAAACCGCACGTTGTCGAGCCAGAAGCATGTTGTCAAGTTTGAGTCGTCATCGATCCACACCTACTGGGGACCATTTCGTCTCAAAATAAATGCGGTACGCGAACCAAATTGTGTTTTACGGCAACGTAAGCGTATGCGCTACAACGGACGACAGGCTGCCCTGCCGATGACCTTTTGCACATCAAACGAGAGTTTCAAGACTGCGGGTGAGGCGTCCTGGACCGCTTCCACTGGAGCGCTCAAAGAGGAAATCATGGGGCCGGAGGTTGTCTCCAGGCGTGTTAGTGTTCTTCTCTCCAAGAGTCGCAAAGGGGCTATAAAGCAAGTGTGATAACACTGATGCTGCCAAACACATTTTGGGGGCTTTTGTTTTTACACGAGTTGTAATGTAGGTCATCAAAAACAACAAGGACAGACACTTTTTCAACCAGAGAAGGGAAAAGTATCTCTTTTTATTGTGGCTAACGACACTCAAATGTAGCTAGGGGATTTTTACACTGTTTATACTTGTCATATATTCTTTATCTTCTGCAAAAAAAATATTGCATCTTACCGAGCTTGTTCTGAAACTCTTCTTCATGTGTCTATATTTTTATACTGTTTAGCCACATTGGCTAAAATGTTTCATGACCCAGTGCCAACCCTGATGTATCATATATTCTTTATCTTCTGCAAAAAATAATAAAAAAAATGCAGCTAACAGAGCTCGTTGTGAAACTCTTCCTCATGTATCTATAGTACACTATGCGCTGCCATCTTGTGCAATATTAAAATAATTAAATGACTGAGTACGCCCTAATGCCTGATTGTCATTCATAAACTTCGTTCCAACACACAATATGCGCACGTAAACCTTTGTCACGTTTCTCGCAGGCTCAATTATCGGCGGTTCACACTTGAAGCCGCAGGTGTGCGCGCGGATACGAGAGCTGCGGCGTGGAACCTGTTGGATGCGTTCACACGGCGGGGGATATTAACCACTAATCGCGCTGTTTACACCGAGTGGGCTTGCGTTCAACCGCCGTACCCCCCCGCACCCCCTCCCCAGCACATACACGAGCACGCTCACTCCCCCGGCGACAAGAGGTGGCGGTGCAGTTGTGATTAAATTCACGCCGCAGGGTAACATGGACGCAATCGTGTGTGCATTGGGAGGCAAGGGAAACAAAAGGCAAAGGAGGAGGAAGAAAACAAGCAAGAGGAAATAAAAAAAAAAAGGGGGGGGGGCAATAAATCTGGAAAGCCGCTGGGAGTTGAGGATGAAGGGTGTGAGAGTTTGGAGGCTTAAGAGTGGGCGGTGCGGTCCGCTGGGAATACACATTGCAGGCAACAGATGATTGTCACTAGCTCCAGAAGGAAGACACTACAGTCAACACTACAACTAAGACGGCTCATTTACGCCAATATGCCAAATGGACAAAAATATTGGGCCATTCCACATTCCACAAGAGCAATTTACCTTTCCCTTGCGGCAGTCTAAATGTGGCACAATATTTCACCCCGAAATGTGATTCAAGGACGCATTACTGTACAGCAGCCCAATAACGAACACAGTGCAACTTCCGAGGGCGAGCGATGACATCTCAAAATGGCTTCCACGTGTGGTTTTAATGACCAATTAAAATTCGATTTAAAAGCACACGGGTCACTGGGCTTTCCGCCCCGTGCCAGCTTTTCGAGCAGGTGACTTCTCAAATCTTCACTTCGACTGGCTCCACCTCAAAGCGTGCATGAGTAGAAAGACGCATGTTGGAGTATGTTTCATAAGCAAGTGCAGGCCAAACACAAGTAAAGAGCGCAGCCATGCTATGCAAGACATTTTTTTTCTCCCCCCTGTTGGTTCCGCCGTGATAAATTCACTTAATTAGCCGCCTGCGACTGTGACGCGAGCTGTCATGGCAACGGGAGGCAAAACAGAGAGGTTGCGCGGCGAGGTTTAGGGGGGGGGGCAATAAATCTGGAAAGCCGCTGGGAGTTGAGGATGAAGGGTGTGAGAGTTTGGAGGCTTAAGAGTGGGCGGTGCGGTCCGCTGGGAATACACATTGCAGGCAACAGATGATTGTCACTAGCTCCAGAAGGAAGACACTACAGTCAACACTACAACTAAGACGGCTCATTTACGCCAATATGCCAAATGGACAAAAATATTGGGCCATTCCACATTCCACAAGAGCAATTTACCTTTCCCTTGCGGCAGTCTAAATGTGGCACAATATTTCACCCCGAAATGTGATTCAAGGACGCATTACTGTACAGCAGCCCAATAACGAACACAGTGCAACTTCCGAGGGCGAGCGATGACATCTCAAAATGGCTTCCACGTGTGGTTTTAATGACCAATTAAAATTCGATTTAAAAGCACACGGGTCACTGGGCTTTCCGCCCCGTGCCAGCTTTTCGAGCAGGTGACTTCTCAAATCTTCACTTCGACTGGCTCCACCTCAAAGCGTGCATGAGTAGAAAGACGCATGTTGGAGTATGTTTCATAAGCAAGTGCAGGCCAAACACAAGTAAAGAGCGCAGCCATGCTATGCAAGACATTTTTTTTCTCCCCCCTGTTGGTTCCGCCGTGATAAATTCACTTAATTAGCCGCCTGCGACTGTGACGCGAGCTGTCATGGCAACGGGAGGCAAAACAGAGAGGTTGCGCGGCGAGGTTTGCGTTTTAGACCCGAACAGAGGATTGAGACGCAGCCGAGAGAATTAGTCACGAGCGTGTGTCCAATTACCACTCCCGAGCCGACATGAGAATCTCCAAATAATGAACGTAAGCGCATTGGCTCACTAAACCCCATCAACACTGAGAAAACAGAACGCAAGGAAGCAAGAACAAACGTGTACTGCTTGATTTTACATAAGAACTTACTGGAACATTCCAAAGGAGTGTGGCCATCCTGCTCCAAAAGAGTGAACGTCACTTCAAGCCCCTGTTAAAGTGAACACAAAAATATAGCACAGAGAAGACAGTTGTTAACAACCGTATCAAGTTGGTTTGATGAACAAAACGAGGCTTAAAAATGGTGAAAAATCCAATCTACGGGGTCGTGCGGGCCTTTTCCAGACCGCAACGACGAGGCGTTCGAAATGCAAAGCCGCTGTCCACACGGTGACTGCCACATCTAACATGAATAAAATCAAGTTGCACGTGCGCTTTCTCTATGTGACCTGCGCGCACTCATGGCGGACAATGAGGCGCTCTAAACCCAGCAGACTATATGAAGCTAGTTAGCTATATTGTTTACATTATCGCAATGCAAATAATATACTTTTTTTTTACACCTCCACCTGTCAAGAGTGAGCTCACTGGAATGTGTCTCCGCGTGTTGTATAAAACTGCGCGTCGGTCACGGTTGAGGGATGACACAAGCACTTACACACACACGTACACAAGCAGAGACAAGTCTGCTGCGAGCTGGTCATTGCAATTTTTTGCGCCGGAGCTCACTAGAATAGAAAATGGCTGCAGGAAGCCTGGGTGAAGTGCTGATAGAGGCTGCTTGCTGTTTATTATACAAGTGTTCAGGCATTGGAACACGACAGCCGACACAGGGAGGCGAATGTGGCCATGAGCTGACTTGCAGTGCAGTGTTTCGATACGACGGCACGGGAGGCGAAATTAAGGCGGGAAGCAGATGGCGAGCTTTTGAAAAGTCCCGCAGTCAACCTATTTTGCTATGCGCGGCACAGTCAGAGGGAAGCACAAGGACGCTCGCCTGTTTGACAGGCGGACATTCGGTGCATCAATGGCGCTGATGGCGAGTGGCCGGGTACTGTGGGGGGCTCAGATCAGTGAGAAAGTAGATAAAACAGATGAAAGCGCACAAAAAAACATTTGGGGGAAGACTTCAAAATATTAAACTCAATCATTGCTACCTCATGGTAAAACAATGCACTTTTTGACTTCTACATCCGTCAAAGACAGTGAATGATCCATCTTCAAAACACCTCGAGGTAACCTTACCTGCACAGCCAAGCTGGTGACCCCGCTCCCTGCTTTCCAAGTGGAGGTCATTCCACCCTTCGGCCCACCTCCACAGAACCCCTGAGGCCAAAAGCTGAGGGGTCGAAGGGGTCAAGACTCATAGCGTCACCAATTTTAACAAACACTACAAAGGATATACATCAACGCCATCTTCCACTTTTGCCCTTGGAGAGTGCTCACGCTATGCTAAGTTCCGCTACAGTGTGCGTAGGCTGACTATTGCCTCAATGTGATTTAACGACGTTAAAGTCCCCTTCAAGGTCACTCGGGCTTTATGAGTCGTGTGAGACCAAGCGGCATCTCCTCCGCTCTAAATTTATAAACGCTGACTTCTTTAGTATGCACTATGTATTGATTATCACAATTACACACCATTACGGTTCTATTATCCGCACTGGCTGGCTTTAATTACACTGGAGAGCCGGCGGGGCGCGTGGACGAGGACGAGAGAGCAGCGGAGAGGATGGCGATGGTGTAGGTGGAGGCGGCGACACAGATAGATGGATGACGCGGCGACACACATATACTGCACCAAACTAATTAAAACAGAAACTTTTTTTTTTTTGTTTCCGGCAAGTCGACAGCCAATGAATCTGGCAGCGAATGAATGTGTCCGCAGGGAAGAGGCGGCGAGGAGTTATACGTCCACACGCACCAGGACGGAGAGGGAGGGGAAGGGGAAGAGAGCCGTTGCTATGGCGACTGAGCATTGCGCCACATCATGCAGCACTCGATGCGGCCGCTCCGTGAGTAACGGTACAAGATTCATGACGCCAATATTTGCTCAGTGTAGCTATATCGCTGGCAATACTAAAACACACTAACACGCTGCACCTGTAACATATTATTGGGCTTTCACAGTCGATTTCCGGGGTTTATTCATTCCCTCGTAATCGCCTTGGTGTCGCATAACACATCAGTGAAAGTTACAAATACTGTGGAGACTCTGAAGATTAAGCGATGGTCAAAATAAGGGGGCCTGATCAATCATCTTAGATGTCACACAGGTGCATGACTCATTTCGATATTTGCATTTCCCTGCAGATTTTGGCCTGTTTCACTGTCGCTTCTCTACTCTCCCTGCACCCTTTGGCTTTGAGCAAAGTGAGGCTGTTCCAGTCAGGATACGGCATCCACCAGCATGGAGTCTTATGCTGTTTAAAGTAACAACACCTGACAGTGGTCATTTCGGGAAGGGGAATCCCTCCAATCTGGGATCTATTCTCCAAGCCCCACCCCCAAAAATAATTATGTATATTTTTTCTTAGCCAGATTGTGTGTGCAAGGGGCCGAGGGGGGCTTGGAGACTCTTGTGTGAGTACGGGCTGTACAAATACACATGACCCGACTTAACTAGCCAAAATATCCATTTAATGGCAAAGGGCACAATGGCTCACCAGATCCAGTAGATAGCGCTGATGGAAAAAGCTGTTCGTTCTAATTCAAATATGCCTTTTATTTTCATGCGAGTCAATTAGATTGCAGTTATTTCTTTGTCTTATCTTCCTGTAATTCCCCCTGTCCTGCTGTTTTCCAGCAGATCCCCACTGCCAGTGAAACAGCAGTTAGCGTTTTTTTTTTTTTTTTTTGTACAGACAAAAAAATAATAAATAAAAAATCCACCACGGAATGAGAGTACAAGTTTTCCTCGTACTGTGTGTAAAGACTTAAATAGCCGCTGCCCCTTGTATACAAAGGCCACTGATTGTGGACACTGACTTTGTAGAAAGCGGCGCCGACTGCGGTGTAACTAGGTTAGATCTCGGGGGGGGGCCCAGGCATGCAGACAATATCTGCCAAAGAATTATGACGGCCCTGTAACATCTGCTGCCTCCAGAGCAAGACAGACATTGATGGATGGCCAGGTGCGCCTCCCTGTTAACACTTTGAAACCCTTGTTTGAAAGCCGAATTGACGTGTACGCGCACACACAGTCATACTCGTTAAAACTGCAATCTTAGCTTTGATGACCCATTAAAATTGCAACCCAAAGTATAGGACTGGGTCATTAAAAAAAATAAAAATAAAACGTATCCTGACATGTTTGCGCATAGGCAGCATGGAAAGACGAGGCACAATTGTTTGTTTTGGAGCAGAGCTATTGATGGATGTGCGAGGAGAGTAAGAAATGTGCCGTCATGCAGTCAGTTGTCACTCGCTCATGCTCTGTTAAAATTAAAATGAATCACAGTGTGCCTTCTTGTCTTTAAGAACCGTGATGCTATCCTTGCGTGCTGGCCTGGACGTGGCGGCGGTGGCGGCGGCTGAGCGATGGCAGAGGGCTACCGACTTGCGGGGTCTTGCGTTCAGGCGGGATCGGAGGCAAGACGGGTTTGATGCCGGATCCGGGCCGCCTGTCAGAAAGGGGCGTGATGCCGGCCGGCGCTTGGTGCGGCTGCTTGTCACCTATAAATAACGCCACCATGATGAGAAATGAGATAGAAATCAAGTTGTGATGTGAAAAGGGCTCTCGGCGGAACAACCTTTAATCGTATCCGCTGAGTGTCCTGGAGATTCATCTGAGCTGTTGAGAAAAAAAGATGAAAAAAAAAAAAAGAGATGACAAGTGGAAGTTATGGCAGATTCCCAGATGAAAGGAGTCTAAGAGTCCTAAGATCCACTTTGTTTTGTTGCCTGGAAACTAAAACGATGGCCCCTGGGACTCAATTAATCGACAGTTACGTGATGCGCGGTGACAATACGTGAAGGAGACACTCGCAAGCTGGGACGCATCCCGGCGAAGATGAGTGCAGACAAGAAGACACGTCTGGAATCCTCTGCACAAATACTGCGGGGCTGAGTCACGTTTGGATGGATGACGGCGACTCTGCGCGCCGAGATGAAGCCACGGGGGCATACGGAAGAAAAGACGCAATTGTAATTACATTTTGGGGTGAGAAAGGACAAGGAAAAAAAAGTGCAAGCCTCGAGACATTTCTTACATGTAGGTTGCAACCTTTTCAGCATGAGTGACTCATTTTAATTATTTTTCGCCGCTGAAAAAAATATTCTTTTACGACCGCATGAGGCAAAATTAAAATAGTCCTTTTTACCGTTGAGAAGCTCAATTTCTGAGCCGCTTGACAACGTTAAGGTCAACAAGGTCTCCAAAACGATGATTATGAATTGACGTGATAATCGATCAGTTGTCGATAGTTGCACTTGTCATGATAAAATAAATGGACGCATGACGAGCATATTTTATTTAGAGTCAGTATTAGTGTTCTTTTCCTTCCTAGATACATTTTGTGGGGGGGGGACGAGAATTGATTCATTGTATCAAGGCACTGTACTATTTGAAGCTTTGTTTTGTTCCGTACGTGTTCATTTTGTAGTTTTCGTGGAGGTGAGCTGTTGCGCTGAGTGGAAACTCTACAACGAGCCCATCGAATTAGCCTCGCTGCTGGTTTTAGCGGCGGGCCACTTCACACTCAAGGTCGGGAAGTCCAAACAACCCATCAAAAAGCAGTTAGGACAAGTGGGCCAATCAAGCCAATTTGGGCCCCCTGGCAGAGGGAGGGCAGGGTCTCCACTCAGAATTAGGCCTGAGAGAGGCCAGTCAAGTGTGTGCTGCTTCAAAGTGAACCTTCTGATGAGCCAACTGTAGACCCCCGGACTCTTCCCCACGACTGCCTCTCTCACCGGCTGCTCCCGCCTGCGGATGGAAGCCAGCTCCTGAAGAGGAGACACATGGACCAAAAATAACAAAAAACCCAAAGGCAAAGCAACATACTGATGATTGGCAGACATGAGGCTTCATTGCAGCGTAATTTTCCATCGGAAACTCACAGCCGGAGTCTTGCTGGGGGCGAGCTGCTGCTGGCCGTGGGTGCAAGAGTTTATGTCAAGGGGCTCTGAGGGGTTGAGGGAAGATGTAGCTGGGTCGGGCGGTGCGGATGAGTCCGACCTTTGCTGCTCCGTGGGGGGCTCCTCTTCCTTATCCTCGCCTGAGGCTGGAAAATATTTTTGGGGGAGGACAAGCACACCAAACGTTGCAGTTGGCGCGCACAGCAGCGAGAGAAGGTGGCCATACCTTCTTCTTCCTGGTCTTCGAGCAACAGGTAGTTCTTCACCACCCGCTCCAACATGCGGTAGGCTCTGTCCCAGTAATCTGCGAGCACAAAATATGCTCACCAAGGTGGCCGCTGCACCGCCCATCGAGTGCCAATGAAAGCAAAAGCGATGGGGACGTCAGGGGGTGCATAAAAGTGATGAGTGTGCTGCCCTCCCCGCGTGTCGGTCTCATTAAGAAAGGAGCTAAAACGCGCCGGCATGACTAACTGTTTGACGCTGCCGCTGCGGCCTTAATACAAAGCGGTAATGGGAATGAAATTGTGCTGTATGGATTTTTTAGCGAGGCGCGTTCATTTATCTAAGGCCTTATCAGTGACAAGAGGGGGTGGTTTGTCTCTGTGGGGCAGTGCGACGACAGAAAAAAAACAAAAACTGTCTCTTGCTATCAAATTCACATGATATCCTCCGCGGCGTTGACGCTAATAGCAAAAGGACAGCTCGGGGTTAGGCGTACCGCAACGGATGACGTTGTTGAAGAAGCCGGGCCGCTCCCTGTTGAAGTTGTCATACAGCTCGATGCGCGACAAGGCCGCCTCGATCTGGGCGTCAGTGTAGAGGTTTCGACTCCTCAGCATGGCCTTGTAGTTTTCCGCTATGGTGGGGATGAGCAGGATGTAGCGGGGCTCAAAGATGCTCTTCTTTAGACTCAGCACGCCCTGTGAAGATGATGGGAGGACAGTGGTTGAGCCTCAACGCATTCGAAAAGGCGTTTTGTGACGTTCTTTTTAAATCATTGTGGCTGCTTTGACTAAAAATGAATGAATGACCTCCAGCTCCATTTGCACGCAGCACGCCAGTCCTTCCCGGGCGACATCTTCGATGGCGTCCCTGCTCAGACCGTACTTGTGGCCACCGTACTGGACAGTTTGGAGGAAAGCCCCCTGCAATGGGACGGCCAGGCCAGTTAAGAGGAGCAGTTACAGTGAACAGAATGTAGGACTTTGAGGACTATAATCTATATGTGTTGGGAGAATTATGGTGCTGAAACACACACGATAATCCATTGGAAAGCCAAAAGAGGAAGCAGGGGCAGGAGGAAGGCACGAGAGTTGTGAGCAATAAATTAGGTGTCTGACAACATAAGCGCTGGAAGAGAGATCAAGACGAGCGTCACATGACACTTGAGAGAAGGCACTGAAACAAGCGTGCAAGCTCACAAAAGTGTAAATCACGGAACGGTTTGCGAGTCCTCATCTGCACCGTGTTGAAACAATGACAGGTGTATTTTTTTTTCTTCACCTTTTCCACCAGTGAAAGCAAAATTCAGCAGTTCAAGTATGACAAAAGCATTCCAAAAACTTATTTTTACGACGTGGAATTGCCAAACAGACGCACCCTTTGCACGAGTAGCTCAAACTCTTCCTCGCTGACAAAATGGTAGTCGCTGCCGTTCACCTCGCCAAAGTAGGGCTCCCTGGTGGTGTGGCTGACCCTGCATGAAAAGGACACCCAAAAAAAAAAAAAAAAACAATGTCAGGGAAGAAGTGTGCAAATTACAGCAAGGAATACCAGACTGACAGCAGGGGGTTAAGTCTCAGGACAAGAGCCCTTTGGCAGTGGAATGCCTGTTGAAGAATGGAACACTCGTGACAGGTCTATGAAGTATTTGTCGTTGCATGCGTCTTGTGTTCAGGTTGTGCTTCATTTGGATTTTGACAACTGAAAACCACCAACTCTGAACTATTATCCCTCAAGGGCAAAATGTGGGATCTCTCCCCATGAATAGAAGACACTGACCCGTATGCGAAAAAGTCTTCAAAGTCCTCACAAAGGCGATGGGCCATCTCCCTTTTCCCGCAGCCTTGCGGGCCGGTTAGAACAAGCATCGGATATGGAGCGTCAGCGCTGGGGAGAGTGCTGCATGGACAACAGAATTTTTATCATGCAATTCAACTTAAAATAGAAGCCTAACATGCGAAACAGATCAAATGGATGTGTCTTTTTTTCCACTGTAATTGTAATTCCAGGTGAATCTTTTTTTTTTTTGAAGTGATGATATATGTACTTGTCTTTTTATTGTCTGAGCGAGTAGATAAGAGGAAAGGCAGCAGATAACCGAACAACGCTCTCTCCGAAGAACAACTGCAGCGAGTTTTCAAAAGATATGTCAAGACACGATGAGCAATGGCGGAACAACGGGCTCGCTCATAAGGACGCGGAAAGCAGCGAAAGTTTTGTGGGAGGCTAAAAGGACGGGGATACCAACGTGTCATAGAGGTGCTGAGGCTGCATCAGCTGATACATCAGCTGGGTCATGTGATCTCTGGCCGCCACCACATCCAGCGGCGGGTCGTACTTGTTGATGGACAACACCTGGATGAGACACATCCAGTTGATCAGTGGTTAGCCAATTCAAATTCAAATCAACACGGCAATTGTAATAAAACTTAATTCCCAAGTCACAAAGGCTGCTATGAGGGAAAAAAAAAAAAGCTTCACTCTGGGAAACTGTCTGTCACATCATAATATTGAAGAAAAAAAAAACATTCAGATTCCCTACCCCCTCAAAATGATTCACTCTTACGAAATAAAACTTGGCCCAAAGTAAATGCTTGAATGCAGATCGAAGTCAAACACAACTCAACTGTACTTATCGTGCACTTTGAACATTTTTTATTTAACCGATTCTTAGCATACCACAAAAGGGTGTCCATGTATCACAAGTTGTACCCATTCCACTGTACTTTTTTTTATTGTTCATGACAAACCTTCTCTTCTATGGTGACTTTCTCTTGGTCCAACAGGGTCAGATGCTGGATGAGGAAGACTACCGACAGCCGGTACTTTGGCTTCTCCTAACACAACATACTCAACATATTGTTACGTAAGTACTTCTTTGAGAGTCAAAATTAAGTATTATTCTATTTGCAAAGGCAGATGTTTTTTTTTTAACTTCACATAGCGTTCATATCTGGCATTTAAGTTCATTACCTGTACAGGGTTCCCCAAAAGATTCAATTCCCTCAGCAGGAAAAGACTCTGAATGTGCTTACACTCCTTAATCTCAGAAATCTGTTTAAAAGAAAAAAAAAAAGCTATTACTGCGTCAAAGTGTGCAGCGGCGTTTCATTTCTGGCGCTGCACAAACACCTGATTTCTTTCCAGGTTGATAGAGCCCAGTAGGTGGAGGTTGTTGAGGCCAGCGAGACTGCTGATGCGGTTCACGGACAGATCCAGAGTGTGTATCCTCTTCAGGTTCTCCAGACCTTCCGTGCTTGTCAAATGGTTGCCCCTCTGGACACAATTGGAGAAGATGTTTAAGATCAGAAATGCACTCCATGGTTCTCTGTAGTTCAAATTAGAAAGAAGCCCCGGTCATTGTTCCCCCGCTACATAAATTCTAACAGATGAGGCAGGCCAACAGCTGGCAAGGCGCTCATTCAGCACAAAGCCAAACCTTCACAGGCACCCATTGCTAGTTTACATGCTTTGACTAAAGTCATTATCTTGCTGCCTGGCAAGCGCTCGTCGAGCATGAGGCCTGGCAGAGGGCCGCTCTCCGCGTGTCGGAAGAGGGCGGGACGTGCTGTGGGACAAGTTTGGCTCTTCACAGAGGCAGCGTGTCAGGAAAGGGGGGGGGGGTGTCAGGTGCAGGATGGACCAGCCAGGACCACAACTGGTGGGCCACTGGAGCCATGCTGGTCATAGGAATTGAAATGGGAAGAGAAGAGGGGGCCAAGGGTAGGGTTAATGTAGAAAGCTGGATAAAAAAAAGGACATTTTAATTCCTTGGTGTTACACAGAGCATGAAACTTGAACCCTTATTTTAGTATCTTATTTGTTTTCAACGTTGTTATTGTCCTGTTTTTAAACTTGTTATTTTTTTCCCCCTTACTACCACAAATAATAATGTATCCATAATGACTTCTAATAATGTTTATTATTAGTTTGGATGAATTCATAAAATTCTTATTCATGTCTCGATGCAGGCAAACCAAACAAAATCAGCATAGCTTCTTAAACTTTGAATCGGAAAAAAAACCCTAAAATCACATCTTGGACTCTGCCAAGGACTGACCAGGTTGAGGTCTTTAAGCGGAACGTCGTCCAGACTGCAGATGCTGGTGATGGTGTTGTGCGCCACGCTGAGATAGGTCAATTTGCAGCACTTCTCTAAACCGTGGATCCGCTTCAGCCGGTTGTCTGAATTGTAACAAGTCAAGGGTGCTGCATGAACATGCCTGTGTATCATTCTTGCATATGAAAAGGATACGGTCCAGCTCTAGCTTGACGAGCGCCTCATAGGCCGACATGTCCTTCATTTGTGTCAAAATGTTGTAGGAGAAATTGACCTCCTGTAAAAACAGCAGGCAGAGATTGACTAATTCCACGAGGATATTCAATTAGCTGAGCATTCAAGGGCGTCGAAAGCCTTTTAAGCATGTTTGGAGTGACGGCAGATGGCATGCGGGCCCGTCATGGGGAATAACGCAGCCACCAGTCAAAGTTTGTCTTCTGCTGTCAAGCTCAAGGTCCTGCTTGCCGGTACCTTCAGGTTCTTCGGGGGATCGAAGCCAAAGAAATCCGAGATCTCATTGTGAGAGACATCCAGGATGACGAGGAAGGGCATGTGGCTCACACAGGATAGATCTAGACCACGGAAAAATTATGAATAAAGCCGCTGCCCCAAGAATATTCCGTTATTATGATTACCTGTAATTCTGTTGTTTGACAGCTCCAGCTTTTGGAGGTGAACATAATTTGACAAGACTGAGATGTCCCTCAGCTTGCGACCCTGGTAAAAAAAGAAACAAGTGAAAATTCACCGGAACATTTTCATTTCGGCTTTACATGATGTAAAATGCATCTTACGGGAAGCGCCACGTGGTAGTATGGGTGCTGAAGTCCAGTGTTGAAGCGTCCAAGGCGGGCCACGCAGCTGGACACCAAGCCAGCACCTAAAACGACATCCTGTGAGCAGAAATAATGAAGAATAATCAAATTTGTATAAGCAGAGCAGTGTAACAGCTCCCATCTAATAATTACATATTAAGATCAGAAATTCAAGTATACTTCAGATTTCAAAAAGTAACAAATATATGCAGATTGTAAAATTCTAAGCACAAAATGGAGCATATCTTTGTCAAGTCAGCTTTTTTTCCTTTTTTTAATTTTTTTTTTTTATACAGCATTTGTATTTGAAGTCATTATCTTGTATGGGCGTATGGCACATCTAAAATGCTGTACAATAAATTATATCTATTACAGTGTTACCAACTCACATACAACTTCGTAATCACTTTTAGCTAGGAATGAATCTGATTGAGTGGAAAAAGACACATTTAAAGGAGGGACAGGGCAAGTTTCTCCATTTAAAGTCGCACTTACCCTTTCCGCCATGTCTATACACCTGGTTGTCACTTCTCAAGCCGCTCAGCTTAACTATTGGTTGGTTATTACAATTATTAGATGACGAAAAGTCGTCAAAAAAATGACACCAGACGACGGACTCGGACGCTGCCGTTGTGACGTAATGCAGCTAGCTGTCTAGCAATTAGCACACCAAGGCTTTCGGCTGTGTCTCCTAGCAACGCGTAGGTGGCACGACGGAGAAAGGGATTGTGGGTAATGTAGTTTTCTATAGCTACAGCCATTGGGAAATATACTCATGCCCAAAAAGTCGTAGACGCACTTCAAAACGAAGGGAAATGTTACAAAAAACAAGTGATATTAATTACCTGTAAGTCGGGAGAAATGACGAAACCAAAATGTTTGTGTTTTTGTTGTTACTAAGACGAGAAAGGACACAAATACAACACTGTCGTTTGGCGAGGGCCTTTCCGGATGTGAGGCAATCAGCGACACCTGTAGGTAGTCACATGACTAGATGACGCAATCATACGAGTCAAATGCTCAATAAATGAATGTCAAAATGTGTTGTATTTAAAATATTAACGATGCCGATATTAATCTTTCATTGAAATCATTATTGATTTCGTGTTTAAAAATGTCAACGTTTTCCTTGTAAATAAATCAAAATGGCTGCTTGAGCAAAAACACCAGACAAAACTCATTTGAATGTTTATTGTGTGTCGTGTAACCGTGCATTTATTCTGATATATAAAAACAACTGTGAGGAAATTAAGTGTGATGATTGAACAAAAAGCAAATAAAGCAGAAGTGTTGACATGTTTTAGTGCTTATCACTGACAATTCTGCTCAAGTTTCCCATGTATTGAATTGCATCAAGTAGCAGCTTTTTCAGGGTTTACGGCAAGTTTCGTCAAACCCGTCCAAGAGGAACCCGCAGCTGTTTTCCCATCGGCCCCAACTGTCAATATGATAGATTGTGTTGGGCCAGTGAGGTATTGACAGAGCCCTCTTCCTCCTGCTGCTCTTGTTAAGTACTCCTTTCCAAGTTAATGAACTCAAACACAGAGAAGGGCCGCTTGAAGAGGAAGTTTCAAATGTAATATTAGCAACAGAATTATTTCCACCCCACAACAAATAAAAAATAAAATAAAAAAAGATCTCTTTCTCTTTGACATTAAGTCCAACCGCCCAACATGACCATTATTTTCATCGGATGGCACTTTTTCTTGGCAAAATTTGGACTTTCTTCTTTTATTGTGACTGCCCCGGGAGTTGTGACTTTATTCTTCTCTCTCTAATAAATTGAAAAGAAGTCATCATCAAATTAAACTTCAAACAAATAGAATTACACTTTTTGGGTCGGGGGGACTAATTAATGGCATTACCATTCATTTCAATGGGGAAAGATGATTTGAAACACTAAATTCAACTCTCAAGGCACCACTGCAAACAAACCCATTGTCCATTATAATAAAGATTTAGGGAGCGGTTGGTTTCAGGTGCCTGAATATGACATTCATACTGTATACCGGACAGGACGAATGGGGCCGATGATAGCGGCAGTTTGCCTGGAATAAGAAAATGAGATGAGATGGGACCAAAGTTTGGCGTCAGATCACACGGTGGTGATCTTCTTGTCCTTGCTGGCCTGTTTGATGGCAGCCTGCTCGCACACGATCTCCTTCAGTCGCTGCAGCCGCGTGTTCTGGGTGCTCAGGTCGCCTACGCCCGTCTGGCTGCGATGGAGCAGTGACAGGGCGTTGATGTACTCCAGCTCCGTGTAGCGCACGCCTTGGTCCACCACCAAGTGGAGCAGCTCATCGGCCGAGTTGTACAGCATCTCGTAGTACTGCCTAGAGAGGACAGAGTGGAAAATGAAAGATTGTTTTTGAGTCTTTAATTTGGCAGTGGAACTTAAAAAAAAAGTCTACTTCACACTTTTAATGAAATGCTGTTGTCAGAGTGAGTCGTGCATGAGGAACGTTGCATTTAAAGGTCGCAATGAAAATCAATAACGCTCTGACAAGGAACATGCGACTACATTCTAATAACTGTGTTCAAGAAATTGAACAGGAAGTCAGCCATTTTACTTGACGTCAAATATGGATACAGATGATTATTTGCAGGAATTGCGATCTCCTTGCCCAATACTTTCTTTGCGTAAACACAAAACTAGCCACAGTGTGGCAATACAATGTGCAAATAGTACAGAAGAAGACAGTCACAACTGCTCAGTAAGCTGTTGTATTGTTCATCGTTCTTTGCAGAGGATAAAGAATACATGCCTATGAATGCTGTTACACTGTTGCTCTCCATGGCTTCGCAAGTGTAAAAAAGTGACAAATGCTACTTTCGTGACCTTGTCTATGTAATTCTCTTTGTTCTATGTTTCGTCAGGACAGTAATCTTCAACGAGGAGTGGCAATAAGCAACCTTTTCAAGAATCTCTCATGAGTCGAGTTTGCTGGTACCATCTCGTACTTGCACCTTCCCGGTATTTTTTTTTCCTCCCAAGAGAAAGCAAAGCAAAAAAAAAAAACCCGAGCATGAATAACATTACGACTAATGTTTGCAATGCAACGCAGGCACTGTTAACACCTGCGTCCGCAAGTTGTTGATTATTAAACCCACATGAGAGCTTCCCATGTTTCCCTGTGGTGTAATTTACATCACAATCTAATCAACCAACCCCTCCCACATAGACTCTGGTTTCGCTTTACAATGAATATGAAGTCGCTTTAAATTGTGTGAACGCCGCAGAGCTCGAGTGTGAAGAAGAAGAGAGGGATCACAATTCATTTGCAGCTGGAGTAATGAGTGAGTGAGGAGGCCATTCCAGGCTGCCTCTGTCAGCGCGTTTGCTGTCGCACATTAGTTAGCTGGGGAGGCAGTCAGGGAGGGGGCGGGGGATTGGGGCGAGGGGGAGGATGGATGGGGCCGCCGGCCATGATCCTCTCCATCAGCCACGACCACAACATCCGAGTGGAGTGATGAGTCTGCTTCGTCTCGGCCTCGCAGTGCAGCCATGCGCGGTTTGAAAAACGAGTTTCCAAACAAGGGCCCCCAAAATAATCGTGTTTTCAACACACAACACAAAAAAAAAAAAAAAACGACTTCAACATTAAAATTAAAGAAATCTGTAAGGGTTCGCTCTGTGCTATCCACTAAGAGCTAATGGCTAGCTGCATTTCTGCCACTTTTTGGATTACGGCCGGTGACTGAAGTTGCTGGTTTGCAAACAGAGGCATGATGACAGAAAAACGGCCAGAAAAAAAAAAGAGGGAGAAAAGGGTGACAGAGAGCCGAGACAGACGACGATGAAAATGACAGTGCGCCGCAGCCGGTGCCCCTAAATACAAACAGTTTTATCTGTTGACACCCCACTAGCTTCTGACACGCCTGTCAGCCGTACTTATTACCACAGGCTCTCCACCAGAGACGCGGCTCAGCACTTTGGCTTGTTTGCCACAATGGCACACGTCCCCGAGTGTAGTTGTTTCCCGAAGCAGGCAGTTTGGAAACCAGCCTGTCAGACAGGTGTTAGTCGAGCTAGAGGTGGACTATGACAGGCCCTTTCTACCTGAGACACGGGTCGCCTAACAGTGTTTAGGACTGCGGACCGGAACTAATTTGAGGGCTCGAGCACAAACCAAAGCGAGGTGGTGGCGAATATCAAAACATCTTTTTTTTTTTTTTTTTTGCTTAGCCCATGTGGAGTCACTCACATTTTAAAGATCTGTGTTGAGATATTAAAAATTGACCTGTGTGGATAGCACACTTGAGCAAGAACAAGACTGACTGGCCCTCTGAAACCCGATTCAAACTGGATTTAAAAGCAGCCGCTCATGAGTTGCGACAGGCCACTCCGACGCCGGGAGCGCAAGAAACACAAACTCATTTAAATAATCGAGAACAGTTCCGAAGGCTTAAAATAACTTTCACACGTCCGAAGCTGAGCCGGGAGCGGACAGAAAACACTTAATGATATCGTTATATGGCTCTTAAAAGGCGTTGACGTATGTTGTGCCGACCTGAATAAATCGCAGCGTCCAGGGCGGCCTGTTGCCAGGCGACGCCCCGATAACTTTTGTCGCTTTTCCTTCGGGTTCTCATCCTCTCGTCTCTGCTGGGGAGATGGACGGGGCGGTGGGGCAACGAGAGCGGACGGCGGAGCGGCTCGGTGTGTCTGACCGTGAGCGGCACCAAGTGGAGACGCTGCTGTTTTCATACTCAACCACATGGTGGCAATGTTTCAACATCTCACATGTTGAAACAAGTGTGTGTGTGTGTGTGTGTGTGTGTGTGTGTGTGTGTGTCTCTCTCTTTGTGTGTTCTTCATGCGTTCTGCAGTGCTGGCTGCTGGGCCTCGGCTCAGTTTTAACTCAGATCAATGCTTATTACTGTGCCCTTGTCCAGGTCTCTCCTTCGCTCTGACTGGCACTCTCTTTCCCCAAACGGAGGCAGAAAAAACATCACGTCCTCAACACACACAAACGCACGCATGCAAAGCACGTGTGTACATAGTGGAGCATCTGCCGCCTCTCACAAGAGCAGTCTTCCGGAAAAAAAAAAAAAAAATTATAAATAAAAAAATGGTACCACCTCAGTTTTAGACATACGTATCGAAAAAGGTCAGATTATTAGGTACACCGTCCGTCCATGTGAGCCCAACAGTCTTTCTCGTGTTTGAACTCATCGAACGCTGTGCCGCATGAATAATTAAAAAGAGGGCTTTTGCGTGTGTCCGGTGCATCTCGGGAAGTGTAAACAACGGCAATTCTGAATCAAGGCCTCAGCGCCGCCCACGCCGCGCAATCAGAGCGGAGGGGGGCGAAGAAGCTGTTGACAATCGTAATCAAAGTTGACAGAGGGGAAGAACAAGGCGCTGATCAATGCTCTTTTCTCCACGCTGGCCGCCACTTTGGGTTGTTTTTAACCGCCTTCCTCACCCTCCCACCCAACCAATAAAAAAATACAAAATAAAAATGGAGAAGATGAGAATACCGGGCAAAATCCAGGTCTGCCTCCCGGGACATGGTGATGTTGGTGAGGTTCTGCTGTAGTACGAAGATGTTCCGGCACATCTTCTTGATGCCGGACTCGCTGATTCTCTTGAAGTACTGTGCGCCGTTGATGAGGATGCAGGAGATCAGGTGGCCCAGACCTTTGTTGGG